TCTCTCTCTCTCTCTCTCTTTGGCTGGCTTCTTTTTACATCAGGCAGTGCAGCAGCAGTCAATAGCAACCCCCCCCGCTCAAGTTCAAAGAAGCCTTTATAGGAAGGATAGAAATATGCATTGCCAAAAAGCTCCCAGCAACAGACACCATCATCTCTCTTGCTCTACCTTTCTATCTCAGTCTTTGTCTCTCCTCCACTCTCACTGTTTCGTTCTGTATTTGCCTCATTGCTACGTCCTCACAAAGAAAAATACCTTTATGGTATATAATACACTTAAGGTTTGAAATCAATATTGTTGCAAAGGGAATGACAACCTTGTACTTTTATAAGGGCTAATTAGGATGTAAGCCCCCGTTCTGCATTCTCCCACATTATCTGTGGTAGTTCTGTAGAACTGTAAGGTATAATCCACTCGGATACAAGCAGTGATCTTAAAATAACACATGACACAGAAGTTGAGGGTTTATCTCTTTTTCTTGTGCATTATACCACAAGTATTTATTAGAGGTCTTAACAAGTTCAAAAGGTTGTGCCCGATCTGAAGAACCTACCTGTCCTGACCCCGACGTTCAAGAATTAATATTTAAAAAATAGAGATGCACTGTTTTACCCAATACGAATAGACCCAGGGGACATTTAGACCCGATCCAAAATGCATATGACCTCTTAGGCTACATTCACACTGCAGGCCTTAGCCCTTAACTTTTAGATTTTTTTTTTGTTAGGCTGGCCCATATCTCATTCCAGTGTGAACAGGTCATTGTTCTGAAGTGACCTGTATAACGAGAGTGACGTAAAAACACACACACACAGGAATTCTGATATGACTCTTCACTCTAAGGTCGCATTGCAAAAAATCTGACCTGTATCTGATTTGGACCACATATGAACGTGGCACTCCACTGGTGCTCTAAACAACCAGTCTCAAGCAGTACGGCTAAGCTAACAGCAGCTACATTCATCAGCAGTTACTTTACTGTCCATCAGGACACACTGTAAATTACAGAGAGTTGAGGCGGAGCACCCAGAGGACATCAGAATCAGTGACATAGTGCTGTTTGCTTTCAACTCCTCGGAGCACAAAGTTACATAGTGCAAGGAATGGCAGAGGCACCATTCACCCTATTACAACTCAGTGTAGCATCAAAATCATTTTACAGTGTTATTTTAATGTAGAAAAGTTACATAATGTTGCTTTAAATCACAAATGACATCAGTACAAACCAACGTCACTGTAAATATTCATCCTCAGAATGCAACAGCAACAAACTGTCATTAACACATAACATAGTTACTTATAATGTTTCCTTTTTGGGACAATACAAACTTTAAATCTTGGCACTATATTTTACCACTTTGGAAATGTGCTGCTTTGCTTTACCAGTAAGCCGTAGCCTAGGACCAACTGACGTGAACAGTTATTTGACAATAATGTATTCTCTGGGTTTATTGTGTAGGTTCACCACAATGTCAGCTGTCAGTCATCAAAACACAGAGGGAGCACGGTTTCTGCAGCTCATACAATGGCACAGTACTACATTATGTTGTAGTTTTTCCTGTGGTTACATTTGAACTCAGCGTGTGCAGAGTGCAGCGAATGTAAGTGTAAACGTGTGTATGCACTTGACCTGTGAAAGTGTGTTCCCATGTTTCCCTTTATTTGCTTTATGTGATCACTTTACAATGCACTTAGCAGTTTAGCAGTTTAGCAGGATGCCTCGTGTAGTTTTATCACGCTGTTATGTGTGCGTGTGCTGTGTGTATAAGTGCTTGTGTGTGTCGATAGCAACACCGCAGTATTAGCCTGTGATTGCAGTGTATATTTGTCATTTTGTGTTTTGCATTGTGTGTGTTAGAGTGCGTATTTGAGGGTGCGTTTTTGAATGCAGCTGTGTGTGTGTGTGTGTGCGTGCTTGAGTGCCCGTGTATGGATGTGTGTATATATGTGTGCGAGGATGTCAGTGTCTGCGATTAAAGCCATTAAAATTTGTGTGTGTGTGTGTGTGTGTGTAGTTGTGCATATTCTAGAGCAAGATTGGAAGTGGGTCTATTTCTTTTGCAGTCACTGATGTGCCCCTGTGTGTGTAATTGAAATACCTGAGTTATTGACTCTCTCTCCCCTGCAAGTCAAATAACTGCTCCAGGAGTGTGTGAGTGCACTCATTTGGAGGCTCTGGGGCAGAGCAGGCAACTCTGGCAGACCAAGGCCTGTCAACCGTGGACTACACACATACACACACATACACAAAAACACACACATATGTAACAGAGAGCCCTACTGAGACCAAACAAACACGGACACGCAGTCACACAGGCAAAATTAGAGGCACAAACACCCACATATGCATTTTTACAGACATACAAACTACATAACCTGGCACACACACACACACACACACACACTGAATGGCACATAGATATGTCTCTATCCCCACATACACACAAACACACACTTCCCGTAGAGGAGGGCACACGTGTCCCGTCTCTCTCTTCCTCTCTCTGACAGCAGCAGTCCTCTGTGGCTGAACAACTCAGGCTTAGCCTCCTCCTGCCTAAATGGCTGGCTGACTGGCTGACACACGCGCACGGCCTGGCACACACACACACACGCACACACACCTCCGTTTGCCTGCTCCTTCACTGACTCCTGGCTTCCTGCCCCTTCACTGCTCACTCGCTCCATACAGGATCACAGCCGTCTGCCAGCCTGCCCCTCTTCCTCTCCATTCATCCTATTGTCACCACATTGTCCTCTGCCTCTGTCCCTCCGGAGGCTTCAAATCTCAGCTACATCCTCGCTGCTTTTTGTACATCTCTATCTTTTATTCTCGCTTGCTTAATTCCTTTCTCTCCCTTTAGTTTTCTCTGTTTTTCTCTTTTCTCTTATCTGCTCCCTCCTCTACGGTTTTATCTGCTCTTTTTCTATCTCTCACCGTATCTCTCCATCTCTCTCTCTGTCTCTCTCTCTCTCTTTCTCCCCTGTCTCCACTGGCCATTCATCCTGCTGTATTGTGTGCTGTAGTGTATTGTTGTCTGTGTACAGTAGCCAGCACTGACGTCAGCCGTGGATCCACAGAGAAGACAGTGACCGGCTCAGGAGCGTATTCAAAGCCTTGTTGGCTGGCTTCGTGCGTCTGGCTGGCTGACTCGCTGGCCTCGCTACCCCCTCTGGGAATTTTAATACTCACTAATCGATCACCCTGTGCCAACAGAGGTGATAATGTGGCCAGACCCTAATTATTGTTGCTGTAAATGAAGAGGTGTTTTGCAGCACTTCATTTTATTCAAGGTTTCTTATCATTCAACCCGCTCCCTCCAGTGTTTGTCTTTTTTTTTTTTTTTTTTTTTTACTACCATATCTCTCACCCTGCTTCTTTCCCTCCTTCTGTGTCTGTCTTGCTCTTCTTTTAGCATGTATTTTTCTCAAGGCTAATGAAAATTCTGCAGACCTCTGGCACTCTGAATGAGTGTGTTGGACAGTACATTAATACTGCTCTTAAGAAGACAGCGATAGAGAGAGGAAGCCAGAGGAAATGGGGGGGGGAGGAGGACAGGGTGGTGGGGTGCTGTATAGAGGATAAAGGGGGGAGCGGGAGTGCACGAATCTGGAAATTCAATTATAACTGTGCCCTGGCAGTAATTCCACTGGTATAAATGGGATGGCAGAGCAAGAGGAGAAATGGATAGAGATGGATGAAGGATGAGAGAGAAAGAGGCAGAGAAGAGATAGAAAGTTGAGGAACAAATGGATTCAAGTTAGCCGAGAAACGCGAGTACAACATCAGTGTGCGCATCATTATTTCATGATTTCGAAACACAGCCTCTGCATTGAACTCAGCATTAGATGCACATTGCGTTTCACACAGCATGAGATGATAACGACGTGTTTTCAACATCACGGATGCAGCACATTACACTCATTATTTGAAAGAGCGTTCGGCAAGTGTTTCACATGCGCATTGTACCTCTCAACATGCCACCTCAACGGCATGGTGCCGATCTCATTAAAGCAGAAACAAGGTACCAGATCAACCCATGTGCGTCCCCTGGGATGGGCAGGTTAGTCTTTGATGTTGAGTGGAGCGCAGAGTCCCAAGAAGCCAGAGATTTCAACACCCTGCCTGCCTGCCTGTCATGGCTGTCAGCTACCACAGATTTTCCTCACAAAGAGTCCACAAAACCATTCCCATTCACATAATTTGCCAGATTAGGAGCATGAATGTCCAAGAACATAAACACACTACTGTACATCGTGTACACAGAAGTTGGGCTCACAGACTGACTCACCCATGCACAGTAACAAGCTCATGTCGCAGAACTGCAGAGTCTTGTCTAGACTCGCATTTCTCACCTCCTCCTCTTCTTCTGTCCAGCTCAATATTCCATTTCAATACTGGTGGCAGGCTTGGATATCAGTCTGTGAGTGATGTTTATTGGAGTGTCTGCATCTTAACTGTACTACTGTTTGGTTTGCTGTACATTCTGTATCTCTCATATTTAGATTTAGCCTCTCCAAGCGAAGGGGTTTTGTTACTGACAGTATGTTCAGGGCAGTTGTGTGCCATTTCAAGTGCATTCATCATCTAGCTGGTTGCAGGTTACATTGAAATTGCATTGTTCCAACACGGCTATAATGAAACAAATTGATGAAAATGATCGATGAGATTGAGGACAGCAGCTTTGAGTCCCCAGAATTTGCTCCAGCCACCCCCGTGTACAAACTCATTAAAGGAGTCATAAAGGCAACTAATGAAAATCATGACCGGTATCATTACAAGCCCACTGGTGTCCTCTCGCCTTTCTCCTCTGCGAGCGAGAGAATAAAGGCGTCTAAATTAATGTTCGCACCAATAATGTTACAAAACCACCGCCGTCCTTTAAGTAGTATCTCTTCTCCTCTGTGTGTAAAGCCAACTAAATTAAAGTTCAGGCCAATATTGTTACATAACCATTTACACTCTGCTTCTTTGTTCTTCTGTGTGCTTCTGTCATTTTCAGGATGACAACTCCATGTTCTTTCAATTTGGCCCTTCCATCGAGCAGCAGGCTTCGGTCATACTAAACATCATGGAGGAATACGACTGGTACATCTTCTCCATCGTCACCACGTACTACCCTGGTTACCAGGACTTTGTCACCAAGGTAACCGCACTCAGCTGAGACAACATGCACAAATAATCAGGACATAAAGGCAAGATGACACAGAGCAGAAGATGAATTAGCTTCCATCTCTGATCACTTTAGTGTCACAATAGAAATATTGCAGCCCCACTGTACTGGGAAATGTACTGTACAAAGAAACATGTAACATTTTATTATATGATGCTGATTAAAGACACTTTGCCAATAAATGACAGAATTGATATACGCATGAAACACTCCCTAGTGTTTAAGATAAAGATTAAGAGGTCCAGTGTGTAACATTTAACACTGTCTATTGGCGCAAAGGGAATATGATATTCATAGGTGTTTTCATTAGTGTATATTAAAAGAAAATACGAATTGTTCTGTTTCTTTGTCACCTCAGAATGTTTTTACTATTTTAACACTATCAATTGAATGCAATTAAAGCCCCCCAAAATATAAATATATAATCAAAGATTGTTTGAGAATTGCTGTGTTATGACCAGCCTCTTCTTCTTCTGTCCCATCCAGATCCGTAGCACCATCGAGAACAGCTTTGTGGGCTGGGAACTGGAGGAAGTTATACTACTTGACATGTCCGTAGATGACGGAGATTCAAAGATCCAAAACCAGCTGAAGAAGCTCCAGAGCCCCGTCATTCTTCTCTACTGCACAAAGGAAGAGGCCAACACCATCTTCGAGGTGGCCCACTCCGTTGGGATCACTGGCTATGGCTATACATGGATAGTGCCCTCGCTGGTAGCTGGAGACACTGTTGTAGTGCCTGCCGAGTTCCCCACAGGTAGGTAATCTGCTATAGTAGGTGTACTCAAATATGAGTCGTGAAGGTCCAGAATTTCCACAGTGTCAGAGGTCCAGGAAGGTTGGATTAAGCAAGTCATAGTTAAGGTTTAAAATCTTGTACACAAAGGTGATTTCTGCATTAGCCTTTGCTCTGTAACCAAGTCTTTAAACTTTGGTACAAGAGGTGTGATGTGCAGGCTGACATACTGATGTAAGTGTGTGCTGATTTTGCTGTGATTGACTGTTTCACTGTATTCATAGTTGGAAATGCCCAATCTTGTTGTCCAATTCATTTCACAGTTATTCAGCTGGTAGCTTGATATGACGTTTACAGACGGTTCAGTTTTGTGTGTTGTAGTTGCATTTTACCACACTTCACAATCACTAGCTGTTTCACTTATAATGATGCACACTCGTGCTTCTCTCTCTCAGATACAGTGTAAAGTATTTTCCAGTCTTTTCATCAAAAGTGCACTTTTTCAGCGTTATCCCATCATTGCTTGGCTAGTTTTTGAAGGTGCCATTCCATTTTTCTATCTCTGACAGCAAGCTTGCTAATTGTGGCTACTAGCCTAAAAAAGGCTGACAGGCGAAGTGACGTGATAGCAAGCAGTCAGGTTGCAATGAAATTTTGTCAAGGTTCTGGTTAATTTGTCTGGATTTGAGCCAGAGTCTCCGTAAGTGTATGGCAGCTATAGGAAACTGAGTCAGAATAGGGAATTAAAGTAGATCTAATTTTTGTCTGACATAATCTTTGTGTGGAAAGATGTTTGCTTGCTTTGAGCTAAAATCCTGAGCCCTTTTCTAAGTACAACAGTTATATTACATGCAGCGTTTGGTTGATGTTCATCTAAAGTGCTTTAAAAGAAGCATGAATGCATTTTCTATATAGGCAGCCCCAGTCTGAATCAGATGCCTAACTCTCACACTGTTCCTGGATTCTGCAGGGGTAGTTCTCTGATGATTACTCAGCTAGGGAGGTTAACAGTGCTATTAAGGTAACATACATGTAGTTAGTAATTTACTGTTGTGACATTTGAGAAACCTGTGACAGTTAGTACTGTGGATCGTAGTAAAGTCACTGAAATGACTGAATAATGTCACATTTACTGCATTTTTTATCTAAAGTTTTCTAACATTAGTCACCATAAGCCACTAGTTATACCAGACCAAGTGAGGCAGTAACTCCTTTGTGTTTAAACCTGAGCAATGGTGCGTTTTTTTGCTTAAGAATGCAGCTTTTCATTTGTAAGTGGAAGAATGTCGTCTTTGTTCTTTCAAAAGTTACATTGTCTCGCTGTAAGAAAGTAAAAACCTTTATTCTGCAATCTTCATCATCAGTTAATGAAGACTTTGAGATGCAATTAAATGTTCTGGAAAATACAAAGTGGACCTTTTTAAAATTACTATCCCAATGTCAAGAATGAGCTTTCACACTCAGTAAAAAGTCAGTGAGGTTTGAGTTTGTGGTTGCAGTGCTAACAGCACCTCTGGCTAGCAGCAATGTCATGTTTGTGTTGTTTTAGTTGTGTTCTTGCTTTATCACTGATGTGATAATGTTAGCCTGCCATACAGTAGCCTGAAACTCTTCCCTAAAAATGGTGCAATGCTAAAGTGTCAAAAGGGCCAGACTAAAACGCTAAAATGTCAGTAACTGCTAATGAAAACAAAGATGAAGGCATGTACCCTCGTCCAAGAGGCGGCAGTATCTAAATCTAAACTTGCCGTACTTGACAGCACAGAAAGAACACTGAGCCTTTGAAATGTTATTTCCCAAATGTTATTTTCAGTTAGCTATTTGGCTTTTTTCTGCAAGACAAGAAACAAACTGACCTTTCCTAATAAGAAGTGAAGGTGCGTTTCTCCCCCGCTCTCCCCCCACAACACCACTGGAGGTCATTCTAACCTTTGAAGGTCAAATGTAGAACCAAAGTGACATCTAAGTTGGGGTGCATTAACCACACATCCTGCTCACGCAATCTGTCAGGCACACCTGTCAGACTGCGTCATGTAACTCCACTTTCAGTACTTGGGGGTGGACAGACAGTTTTAGAAAGGCCACCTCTCAGCGGGAATCAAACCTGTAACTGTTTGCGATGTTGCCACCAAGAGTACTAATAGAACTTTCCACGACTTCAGTCTATTTTACTCTCTGTAGGACGGTAAACCTCAGCGCAGGTAGTAGATTTATGCTGGATGTATGAGCCTGATAATTTGTTGGTGTTTGGCTTGTTGATTTACAGTACAGGGGAGATATTACACTGCTGCCTGTCCTCAGCAGTTTCTGGGAAATGGTTGCCAGGCCAGAGATCGTTGTGTCGTTCAAGTACCGTAACTCAAACTTTTTACCTCTGCTCCCTTATTGGCATCCATGGATGATTTACTCTAAATGGGAGTTAGGAGTGTGTTTGCTAGCCTGTGAGTGTGTGTGTGTGTGCCAGTGAGTGTGTTTTGTGCCTTTTTGTGTAAAGTCTGTGTGCATTTGTCTGGGAAATGTGCGATTGGTTCATGGTTTGATTTGCATGAGAAAATAATGGGTGAGTGTAATCAAATGGGTTGTGTGTTTGTGCTTTTATGTGTACCTCACATGGCGGACCGCCAGAGTGTTTATTCGTAGGCCAGGGTGAAACTATGGTTGTGTGTGTGCGTTTGTATCAGTTTGTCTGCTCCAAATTAGAGTTCCACTCTATAAAGTTTGATATATCACCATATCAGCTATGTAAATCACACAACAACTTCCCTCTTGATTTATGTGGCCACAGAGTCTAATCGTGACTAGCTCATGTACTGCCTGGATGATTACAAAGTGGAGCTGGCGGAGTGGCTGCGGTGATGGACACACACACACAAACCTCTTTCAGTTAACATTGACTTATCATGGGATTAATCATACGGGACATAATGACAGATTGTGTCATCCATCCATTTAATGCACGATGAATAGGAAACAGTGCATATAGACTAACGTAAACGTAGTGGATCATCTTTTTTGTATAGTTAAAAAGATGTCTGCCTCTGTTTATATGTAAATATATCTATTGCAAAATATAATGTTACATGGTAGTATGCATTGAAGTCGCATGTTGAATATAAGTCAGCACGCAGATGGCTTAGCTTCTGCTCACAGCACTGCTGCTGCAGGATCTGTCAATGCTTTCCGCTGCCAATAAGATGAACAGGATGGTAAGATGTTACTTAACAGCTTCAGCAGTGACAGTGTGTAAAACCTGCACTGATAGCAGCCTCACCTTCATAACAAGTTGCTAAAGCATCAGAAAGACTACTAATTTGTTGTTTTTATTATGTGTGTTATTGCAGATGCATCGATATCCTGACTGTAGCAATTTCTTTGCCATGTGAAAAGATAGATTTTAGCTACACTGGCCCTGAGGTATCCAGGATGAAGACTCTGTAGGCTGTAGGCTGTAGAAAAGCAGATAGTGGCATGATATTTGTAGACATTATGCATTCAACTGTAGAACTCAATCATTCAGCCAAGCGTTATTTCTGAGCTTCAACCTCAACATCATAAAAGCCACATGTAGCCTGTAGTGGCAGTCAACCACACTAACTTCTGAACTAACGCACTGCGAAACGACACCACAGCACAGCGTGTGACTGATGGTGTGGTGGTGTGTGCTCTGGGTGAATCCAGCAGCTCAGGGTTCAGCAGAAGGTGCACGCTTGCTGTGGGGTGAATTTGCTTACTAGGCACACTTAATAATTTGCACCATGTGTGATGAAGAGCCTCCAATTCTCATGGGTAATTCCACTGATGCCTTCCTTAAGTGGCGCTCTGGGGAACCATCTCTCCTCCCACCCTACTCCTTCCTTCCCTTTCCTCCTTGTTTCGTGCTGTTGTTCCCTTGCTTCTCTGTGTTTTCTGTCTCACAATTTCAGCCTCCTCTGACTCTCTTCCTAACTCTCTGCTCCCTTCAGTTTTTTTTCAGTTTCTTTTGCTGCTTTATCTTTGTGTCTCTGCTGCTGTCTGACTTTTTCTCTCAGCTCATTCCGTCCCTCTTTTCCCTCCATGGCGCTCTCAGCTCTCTCTCTCTCTCTCTCTCTCTCTCTCTCACTAACAGCTTTTCTGTCTCTATTCTTCCTGATCAGAGTTACACACCACTGCTGCACAGACTGTGGTAACGTAACCACCCAATCTGACATCACTGACAATAATAAGCTGTTTCCAAAAATACCTAGTGATACGGTAGTTCTGCTGTTACGTTCTCCAATCAATTTGCCTGCTTGTGGACACTCTATGTCTGCACTGTTTGTGATTTTCTTTGTATATGTGCGTATGTGTGCGTATCTGTGACAGGGAGACAGATTTAGCCTTCAAACTGAGGCTATAGCCAGTATACAGGCAAGAAAAAAGGCTTTATGGCCGCCACAGTGCCGTTCAGCTATAACATAGCAGGTTGACATGAGGGTGTTGTGACATTTAAACATGTCCTGAGAGATGTATGAACACATAAGCAGCAGTTCCCAAGATGTAGAAAAAGAATACGCCACGCGGTGCGTGCACATCCCATAAAACAATAAAAGGGAAGTGTGCAAAAAGCGATGGGAGTGAGTGAGTGTTGAGAAAGTGTCAACAGTGTGTGACATTAGATGTGGTCCTGAAGGGCCGGAGCTGTCAGTGCTGAGGCCCCATGAGGAAAGCAGGTTGCCAGGCCGCCTGTCTATTTCTGCCCACTGACATGGTTGTGGACTGGCTGACATGTGGTCATACTCTGTCAGATAGACGCAGATCGACTGATGGACAGAGAGGGGGACAGATTAAAAGGCAGACGGAGAGACAGAAAGCCAGATAAACTGACTTCAAGGCAGTCAGTGCTTCTCTGGGAGCTGTGACCTGAACCCAGAGGCGCCCAATGGGTCCCAGACAGAAAGATCAGTTATTGGCCATTTTCAGAAGTCATAAGGGCACTTGGTGTTGAGAGTTTAGATAAGACTTTTGATCTGGAAGGTTTCCCCGTTAAATTGAGCATTGATTAAATCCACCCTCCTTAGTTACTGCTGCTACGCCTGTCCAGCTTTAATGCTCGAGCAGAATTCCTGTTTTAGCACAGCACAAATACAGTTTACAGTGATAACAGTGGCAGATTTACCTCTGGATATCCTCAATAACCTTTGGTTTCACACAGAAATAAACAAAAGCAGCCATCTGATTTCTGGCTGATAGCCGCTAGCAGATTTTATCAGCTGTAGCTAGCTGACGTAAGCAAATGCTAACACTAAAACTCTTTGAGTCGATTGAAAACCTCTGATATAGTAGCACCCGCCTGAACAGGTATTATTCTAATGTAACCTGAAACATAACATAATGTTAGCTAATGACATGCCCCTTGCCATTGGAAATAATGGTAAGTTACTGGTGTAGGAACTAAGTTAAAGTTCCACTGTTACTTCAGCCTCATGCACACAGCTTTAACATGACGCAGATGCTTTCATACAGGACACAAATAGTCATTGATTGGTTTGATTAGGATGAAAATGATGTGAATCAGCTGAGCACCTATGTGCGGATGCAAAAGCGTTCCAGAGACTAGAACGAACAAACTAGGTTTGTGTTGGTTTTTCCTTTAAATTGTCACCCATCTGTATATATATATATAAATAAAGATCCAAGTTCCAAAATGAATCCAATACAATTAGACCTCTTGTGAGTCGAGCTCAAGGAAAATCCCACCTGATGAAATCCTGACAGCAGTGAACAAGAAAGCTAAATGATTGGTCATTAAAAAGAGATAAACATTGTGCACTAGGCTCAGTGCTGGGCAACATGCACTGTGTGTCATCAATTAATGGTGACTGTTTGTTATGAGTTAATCATATTATCAATAACGGCAGTTTAATATCAATGAAACTCATTATCAAAATGTCATCTGTGTTTTAATTGCTGCATAATAGCCTTAGTTTCATAGTAAATTGACTCTTCTGATAGCATTTTTTTCTTTGTTTTCTGTTCTTTATTTTAGATTGATAATATAGCACGATTTGATTAAAAAACATGTATGCAATAAGTCAGTTGTTATTGTTGTTATTAGACATCCTCAGCCTGCCTCCCTGGATAAATATAGTAATGTCAAGTGATGTCCTCAGCCTTGGGAATACTTAATATCCATCTATCGTCCATCTACTCACTACTCACTATAATAATAATTAACAGTAGAGAGGGAGGGTGGGGGGGTGAAGTAAGGACGGGCATCCTGGCAAAGAGTCGAATGGGCTGATGGGTGGTTGGAAGGGCACCGGGAATGATGGGCAGGGAGACAGACAGAGAGAGAGAGAGACCTACAAATGAATGTTCATAAACAGACAGATTGTCAAAAGAGAACAGGACTCCGGCAGACAGAAGGACAGATAAACAGGCGTACAAAGGCCAACAAACAGAGACAGACAGTGCTTTAGACAGACAGATGGACAAACACAGCAAGGTGATAGACGCTTAGTCAGTCAGGATGGGAGTGCTATTCATCTGCTCTCTGAGTCATCACGTAGTGTGTGCTCTGTCTCTTGGACTGTGTTCAAAACACATACACACTGTATACCCTAACAGAGTTGTCCCTGTCTCTACCCGCTTTAGTTTTCTCCATCTGTCTCTCTCCCCTTTGTCTCTTCGTGTTTGCCTGAACTCCTCCCTACTTACCTCTCTCTATTTTTACTCATCCCTCTGCCCCCTTCTGTCTCACCATATTTTCTTTCTTCTTTCCACACCTCGTCTGATCCCTCTCTCTCCTCTCTTCTTGCTTTGTCCATTCAGGTCTGCTCTCTGTGTCCTACGATGAGTGGGACTATAACCTTGAGGCCCGCGTTCGCGATGGCGTGGCGATCATCACTATGGCGACCTCCACCATGATGATGGACCGTGGACCTCACACCCTGCTGAAGTCTGAGTGCCACGGAGCTCCTGACAAGAAGACTCCCATCTCAGGCAACCCCAACGAAGTGCTCAGGTGAGTGAAGACAGAGGCTGGATTGTATGTACTGTTGAGAGCAGTTTGGACCTGTTACAAAGAAAGATACAATACGAGTTATCACATGTGATGGGTTACAGTGGCAAACAGTGTACCAAGGTTTATATCTATATAAACTATCTATGCTATTGTAGCACTCTGTGAAGTGATTAACAACAAGTGGATGATTCAGACCGATTTGCTTTCTGACTGAGAGAAGAATGAGAAGATTGATACTTATCTCATATCTGTCCCATGAATACAAGGCTACAGTTAGCAGCTGGTTAGCTATACTAGAAATAGTTTAAAAATTAGTAGCAAAAGCTCACTAATTAACATGTTACAGCTAGTTATTTTAACTGGTAAAAAAAACCCAAGTGTATAAAAACATTCCCCAATTTTTGCTTTTATACTTTAGTTCTTGTACAGATTAAACAAAGGAGATATGTCAATCAGTGAGATCTAGAGGTGCTGGTAGGTGGATTTTATTTCCTTTGAACTTAAGCAGACTAGCTGTTTCTACACTGTTCCCAGTCTTTATGCTAAGCTAACCAGCTGCTGGATGGTCACTCACTGGTTTCACCCACTAGAGTCAGTGTTTGGTTTGTCCCTTCTGGGCTGTAGAAACATGGTGGTTCAACATAAATGCTATACACTGGACCTTTAACGGCTAGATATGAGAATGGGTGTATTGAGGAATCAAACAGTGGGTGTCATGTTGTATATCACTATTCCTTTACTATACAGTATTTACGAGTGATTGTTGATCACCTGGATACAAATACCTGTTCAACACACCATGATCACATGACTGGGCTGCTTGAATGTGCCAGTTGAGAAGTAACTGGTGCAGTGGATTTTGGGATACTGAGGCCAACAAAAAATTGGACTTTCAATATGTTAATGACATCTTCAGTCTTTAGTATTTGTTGACAATTAATTGTGTTTATTGAGAGTTAATTGTGACATCTTTGTGACAGAATTGGTAGTGTATTGTTTGTGTTCTCATTGCATTCATCTTCCTGTTGAATGTTTCCACTTCCGTCCGTTCCCTCCCTCTGCCGGGTTTTCAATCACTACAGTGTGTGTTATTGTGAGAAAGTCTGAGTGCACTGCAGGAATAATGTTCTTTTTCCTGCTTCGTGCGCAGTAAAACAAGCTCACTTTTTGCCCTGAAGGAATCCCGTGAAAACAGATCCCATGAAAACTAGCTCTGTGGTGTACAGTGTATAATAAAGTGTAAAGGCCACACGTCTCAGCAGTGGTCTCATTAGTTTACAGTCATTTATTTACAATTACACTAATGTCTCCAAATTAATGTGGCAATGATTTATGGATGCTAACACACAGCAACTTTAAAAGGTGCGCAGGTTCAGGTGGTGCAATAGCAACATGAGCATCCTGGCATAGCATAGCTCAGCACAACCATGGACACAGCAGATGTTGGCACACACATGCTCATTCATCCCCTGCAAACTGTGATCATCCCCTCCACCATATAATAATACCCTACACACACAAACACCCCCTTCACATGCCCCCTTCCTCAAGAAAAACCAACCCCACCCCCTCAGCTGTCCGTCTCAGCAGCAGGCCTTTTGAACTGGTTGTGAAGCGCAGCATTCGGCGGCGCTTTGCTCTGCGCACTGCCTAATTGGTCCCAATGGCGTTTCAGTCGACGAACACTAGCCCCTGTCGTGCTGTGCTCCAGAGCTCAGCACAGTATTATATTCAGGGGCAGTTTCACCCCTCTGCCACTCTGTGTCTGCCGCAGCTGTATGTGTGTGGGTATGTGTGTTTTTATTGTGCTAAAGAGAGACTGTCAGCGAAGGCCAAGTGTGTGTGTGTGTGTGTGTGTGTGTGTGTGTGTGTGTGTGTGTGTGTGTGTGTGTGTGTGTGTGTGTGTGTGGGGTAAGTTTTTCCCACAATTTCACTGCTGATTACAGTCACACATTCATCCAGAAATACTATTTTCACACCTATACAGCAGCAGGAGAAAAACGGCCTACTGTAGAAACACGTGCTCACCTTTCTGGATTGCACTGTGAATGAGGGATAATTGTTCTGATCATACTCCAAGCTTTACTGCATCCTGCACTAAGGCAGCAACGCTTTGTTGTCCATTCCAGGAAACTCCTTTAGATGTCATTTCAACCCCTGTCTGCTTGTTCACTTCTTTTCTGAAGCTTTGCATTTGTTTCACCACTGCTTACTGCTTTGAGATAACGCTGGAGTTTGTGGCAGCTGCTGCTGCCCCAGAATACAATTCCCCATGCTCTGTTCTGTTGTGCCTCGCTGTGGTCTGCTGTGCGCCGCTCTGTTCTTCTCAACTCTACTGTGGTCTTTTCTGCCATGTCCTGTGCTGCTCTTTACTCTGCTCAGCTCCCGCCCTTAACTCCATCATGTTCTTTTTGTCCTCTCTTGCCCTGTAGTCTTCTCCTTTGTTCTGCCCTGGTCTGCTTTTATACATCTTCTCGCCTCTGCTTTTCTTTGTTCCACTTTATTCTCTTCTGTTAAGCCCTGCTCTGCTCTGCTTTCTGCTCACACCTTCTTCTCGTTACCTCTCCCATCTCCTATCCTCTCCCATCTCCTTTCCTCTTCCATCTCCTCTCCTGGTTTCCCTCTCTTCTCCTGTGTTCTGCTCCTCCCCAGCCACTGTCTGCGCTCCAGACCTGCAGTTTTATAATCAACTTAGCTGTGCTGTTGATTAGATCAGTTACGAGCGCTGCTCAGATCTTTCGCCCCTCGCTGCCTTAACTAAATTTGTTTGGTGATAACCTTTGTCTTCAAGTGTTCAATCAAGAGATTAGCATTTGGCCTACAGTCTATATACTGGAAACTGAATGAATGGCTGGTTGCCTGGCTTGCTGGCTGCTTGGTTGGCTGGATGGGTGCCCCGCTGCCTGGTTGGTTCACTACTAAGTGAATCAATGGATGCATAGATGAAAGATGGGTGAAAAGGAGAGCAACTGAATCAATAGGCTCTTTTGTAGGGCAGGAGAACCTTATATTCAGCGACACTCTCCAGTGAATTCAAACATCATTCGGAAATCTTCATACAGAAACACCAAATCATTAATAAGTCAGGTAGAGTTCACAATTGATTCTTAAGTAGTCGAGAATGGCATGTAATTGCTGTGCCAAGCTCTAAAACAAAGCCAAAGCTTGGCAACTGAAACAGACTTGTCAGAATCATCTTAAAACTGTGGGGATTGGTTAGGATGATGTGACTTTCTGCCTCTCCAACTCCTGAAACTTTAACCTTTAATTGGAGCGTGAGCATGATGCTTGGCTGATTTCCCGCTTCAGATTTATTCCGAGACAGATTTTTGTAAGGTCATTTAGGAGGAAGTTGAAAATTGAGATTGAAAGTCTGAAGCAGCGCAGGAAGCGGTGAAGGAAGAAAGACGCCACTCACTCTACAGCCCAGTGAAATGCTGCATGTTAGGAGGAAGTACATATGGGCCAAACATCACTGAACAAAGCAACATTTATGAGACGGCTGTGTATCCCAGACTCATGCTTAATTCTGGTAGGAATTGTGACTATTGGAGATGATCACACATCACTTTGTAGTTTCGATCACACATCACATGTCTTTCAAGCTTGAAGATTACAAATGGGTTAGTAAGGGGATGCATGAAAGTATGCAAATCATATCTAGTTTACATTTCAGTCTGCTGTTGAGTGATGCAGAATTGCTGTATGGTCACGGTCATCTTCTTCACTTTATAAACCAAACATTATGCCGATCCCTCTCTGCTTAGCATTTCCTTGTCCAGCCCTTAGAGCTTCATAGAATTCCACAAGAGAAGGACACGTCACTCGGCTAAGTAAATTAAGTCCACAGTAGCCAGCACTGTGACATTCCAGCTAATGCTACAGTACGAGCCTGACAAATGAAGATAGCAGAAAGAGGGAAAAGAGCGCAAAGCACAGAGAGCAAAAGACACAGTGAGAGAGATAGAAGGAGAGAGACCACTGCTGAGCAATACACAACAGTGCGAGAATCATGAGTTTGACAACAGTGGCCCTGACCTTGCCAGGCGTGGACAGGTTCCAAATGAGCTTGGAGTTGGAAAGGTGTCAAGTGCTTTTAAGCTCTGTGGACATTTTTGAACTTCTGTGGCCCCAGTGAGGCTTTCAATAGAGTGTATGTGTGTTTGCATGTGTGCATGTGTGCAGTCTGCTGTGTGCGTGCAGTACACTCTGAAGCAGCATTTTGACCCTATTGAGCTGAGGGATGAGTGTGTGCCAGCTCGATGGACAGTGTGTCCACCTGTGTGTGTGTGAGTGTGTGTGTGTGTTTGTGTGGGTGTGTGTGCTTCTAGCTATTTCAGAGCGAGTCTATAAAGGCCAGTGGAGTGAGTGTTTATGGGGCAGGCCAGTGGGAGGTGTTAAAAAGGTACCTGTTTGTGATGGGGCTTGATTGGAACTAGGTCAGGATGCTCCTGCTCTCCTTCTCCTCTTTCTTCCCACTCCCTTCTCTTCATTTTTTATTGCTGTCTCTCTTTCTCCTCCTAAACCTTTTCATCTGTCTCTGTCACTAAATCTCTTTTTCTCTGCCAGGTATATTTAGTTCGCTACTGTTCTGTAGTTTTATTTTATATCACAAAATCACCGCTTCTCTAGAGGAGCGTATTGCTGCCACTCCATCCTGAAAAAAACATACAACAACATACAAACTTCACAAGAAACTTTTCTTTTTCTTTTTCATACTATTTATCTTGTTCAAACGTGAATCATTTCATCTGTACACATGACAAAATAAAAGTTATATGTTGTAAAGTTATCACGTAATAACATGAAACTTTTAAAATTATAACAATATAAATAGTATATTGTTATATGTAAGGATTACAACAGCTATGTCATAATAACATTTAATTATCTTGTGACATAACATGAAAAACATCTTGTTATAACAATAAACTTTTCACATTACAGCATGATACTGATCCTATTCTTCTTTTTCTGCCGTGGCAGCAATACACAGCCTAACCTCCCCCTCTATTTTTATTACATTATTTTCTCTCTTTCTGCCCTTTGCTGCTTCCTTCTTCCTCCTAATTTGTTCTTCTGTAGGCTATTGTAATTTGTGTAAGTTTAAGGCTTTTGAAGTTTTATTCCTAAATTCTCAGAAATTCGAAAGACTAGAGAAGATTATTGCCTAAAGTGTTTTATCAGTTTATCAGTATCACTCTGAAATGTAGAGAATTCACTCTGTTCAAGAGCTCCATTTTGAATTAATTTCATTATTATTAGCTTTAATTAAGGACTGTCTGTCAAAAATAAATCACATCAGAGCCACATATCTAGTACCATTTGCTAGTTTGCTGTTCTCTGTCATCCCCTCCTTTCTGCATCTCTGTTCCTGTCTTCTCTCTGCTCTCTTCCCATTAGCACAATTTATTACACTGTTTACACATTCAGGTCCCATGTCTGAACACACACACGGGTACCACTAGATGCATACTTGTGCAAACACATGCACACGAGTATGCATGCAGCAAAGCTTCAGTATTCTTGCCTGCCACATTTGCCATATGGGGCATGTTATCATTCTCCATATAGATTCCTCCTCTACAAATCCAATAAGTACATTGCACCACAGTAATTGCTAAGGAGTGTAATTCATGACTAATTCATGTCAGGGTTAATTTATTAAAACTGACTTATCAATATTTCACACAACTCGTCCATTATTCACACCAGAACATGCGCTAAAACGTATCTGTGTCAGGCCATGGAGTTAGCATGGCAAGTGTTTGTTTCTGTGTGTGTATGTGTGTGTGTGTGTGTGTGTGTGTGTGTGTGTGTGTGTGTATGTGTGTGGGGCACTAAGTTGTTCTGATTAGCAACGGCGAGAATTTTCAAAAATATTCATTCGAAAGGAAAAATGAAATTCCTGCAGAAATGTGCGGCCGTTATTGAAGGGGATGTGTTCACTGTAGGGTTGATTGGAGCTCTGCCTGTTGGAGTCCGGTCAGTGTCACTCGCTCTCGTTCGCCAGGTGGAGACAGCTGCTGCTGCTGTTTGAATATTAATATACCTGCTGTACAGTAGAGCTCAGATACTTTCCTCTAGCTTGAGCTGGAAACCGACGGGTTCAACAGGATATCATATGCTTAACGCCATCTCATAATACAGTAGCTTTAGAAAATAGAGGGAGGAGATTAGAATACATGGTTCATGTTAACATGTTTATTTGTGTCTCTGGCATGGCAAGGAAGGCCGTGCAGGTGATCCAGCTTCGGTGAAGGCACTTAACACCCAGCTGCCCCAGTGGACTTACTCAGTGGCCCATAAGAGGACTGACTGGGCAGTTTCCAGATGTGGATGTACTATGTATGCCCCTGTGATTGCTGAGCAAACCCTTACTCTTTCAAGTGTGTGTAGGCGCATGCGTGTCCAGTCTTAAAACCAGTGATACAGGAAGTTCAGAGGAGGTGACGGAAAGCGAGTACGGTCACATGGATCGGAACATGAAGTCGAAGAAGCTTCCTGTAAACACAGTGTGACGGGAGAAGAGGGAAGAGAGAGCGTTGCAGTCTAGTAGTAATATGTCCCATCCCCTCCCTCTTTTTCTTTGAATCCCACCTCTCTCTCTGTCTCTCTTCCTCCCACCCTCTGCGAGATTACGGTTACCATAGTAACACAGCAGATTGGCTTGGAAGTCACAGTGGTTGTGGGTGCCATGGCAACACACATATGCTTGTGTTTCGCTCTGTTACTGCTGTCAACGTGTGTAGGATGCACACACAGGCACGCAGACACACACAAAGGCCCCACATTGTTGCACGTAACAAAAGCTCGCTCAGTAAAGATTAAAGGGGGCACAGCGTCAAGTCATTTTGTAAATGGCTTATGATTTATGCAGCAGATTCTGTGCACTTTGTATCAGTGCCAAGGCTCTACAGGATGGGGCGGTTAGCTGGACACATGGGGCCGCATGAGATGGTACGATGCTGGATGATTCTGCTCATCACAGCCCATTGGAAATATCAATATTTAATACAGGAAATAGAATATTGAAGCAGTCATTAGAGTAATTGCTGGATTATTACATAAATCAATCCATTCTGTACATAGGAGCTGCATAGCTAGATAGAAACAAAGAGAAACAGCTTCCTTCTGGTTTAAGCGTCTTTATCAGCTGTGGTCTGTTCCAGCTGAAATGTCAGACAGGGTTAAAGTTGTAACAGTTTGAACTTTGCAGCAGTGAGGTGGTGTGTAACGTTAAGGTAGAGCTGCCCGTGAGGTTGAGCTTCATCGCTCTCTCCTGAGGAAAACGAGGGTTCGAGACCAAACTGATTCTGCCGGTGATGCTGGACGTGACCCAGTGCGGTGTTTACAGACCCCCATCAACACACTGGCACCAAGCCAGTCCTTTACACACACAGTCCCATACATACACACACACACACACACACACACACACACGTTTTTTGTCCATTATATATTCATCTACATATATATGGTGTGCACGGTTTTGAGGCAGAGTGTTTCCATGGAAACAGTCAGAGAGAGAGAGATAGAGAGAGGGAAGAAGAGAGAGTAAAGGGTAAGGGAGTTAAAGAGTTAAGAGATTCTGTGTGTGTGTGTGTGTGTGTGTGTGTGTGTGTGTGTGTGTGTGTCGGGGAGGTGGGGGTGATTTGAGTTCACCTGACATAAACATTCCTGTTCTCATATACACACACTTACACACTCCCACGCACATTCATCATAATCACTGCAAGAGAATACAGTGTTGGGTGTCTGCGTTTGTGTGTGCGTGCGTGCGTGTGTTTGTTGTGTTTAGTTGAAGGGGGGTGAAAATGATTTCACCTGACAGAAACAATGCTGCTTTCTCTCGGTTTCTCCCTCTCTGCCACACAAACACACCGGCCGACGCAGACACACAGAGCCAGACACACACACACACACACACATAGTGATCCGACAAGCTGCTATTGGTTTATCATGTAGTACTTTTTGTTACATTGAGACACAAACTGTATTAGTCATTTTTGTGCCCTCCCTCCGGAGCTTGCTGTGTGATTTGTCCGTGGGACTCAACAAAACTTAAAAATTGATCAATTTATCTTTAAGGTGACGTAACCACATTTTCAACTATCGTCTATCGAGCCAGCCATGTGTCCTAGAGGATTTTTTCCGGTGCGCCATGCTACCTCAGTGATAATTACTATCTAGTTTCCCCCTATACCCCCTATATTTCCACTCTTTGTGTTAAGCGAAGCTAACAGGCTGCTGGCTGTAGCTTCGTATTTAGTGGAGAGAGTGGCATCAAACTTCTCATCTAACCAAGAAACAAACATGCGTAGTTCCCAAAATGTCAAATTCTTCCTTTAAGGTCACATCAGTAAGCGCAATAAAGTGAACCTGGGATGATTGGAGGGATAATTGCTGAATTTAATTTTCCTTGGTCCCATCTTGAAATCAGCACTGCTATTTTGCTCAAATGTCTGCCGCTGATGACTAATGTATATTCATCTATTTATGAAAAACCTGGTTAGACATTGGGCGATAGCTATTTCCTGGCAGATGATGGATTTGTGTAATGTCAGTGGGTTTGACTAAATAAATGCTTAAATAACAAAAAACTTTGGAAATTGAGTCATTGAGTAAGAAATTATATAGTCATATAGAACAAATAAAACATTTGAGAGCTGCCGCCGACAAAGATGTTTTTTAGGAAGTGATGTATGCCTCAACGAGTCTCTTTCTCTGTCTCCCTCCTCAATGTTTCCCTCTACAGGTACCTGATGAATGTGACGTTTGAGGGGCGTAATCTGTCGTTCAGCGAGGACGGATACCAGATGCACCCCAAGCTGGTCATCATTCTGCTCAACAAGGAGAGACAGTGGGACAGGGTGAGAGAGAGATGGCGTCCCTGTGTGGTTGTGTGTGTGTGTGCATCTAGGTTCCGGTTGCTGGTTAAGACACATGAAAACATGATAATCGCCTTAAACCGGCCATGCTTATAAGGTGTAAACTGTAAATGAATGACAGGGTGGTAGCAATGCCAGTGAGTTAGCTGTATCCTGTAAGTACAGCACCTGATTGATCCTATCTGCATCTCTTATCACCTGATTTTCACTTTTTAAGCATTTTGAGCCTTAAGCTTTCTAGGCGCTGATCTGATTAGATATTATCAACTCGGCGAAGGTGCCTTTGAGCAATACACTGCAGCACAGGCTATTAGCTACTGCATGCTACCCATCATTTATCTACTTTTTCTGTCTAAAAATGTTTTGTTTTTTCACTAGTTGTTATAGAAAAGTGTTTCCACAAAGAATTCCTGTCAGAAGTAACAGTGAGCAAGTAATAGTATTATATTATATCACCAGTGCTGGCTGCATTTAAATTTTAATGTGACTGGTAGCTTTAAGGCTCATACTGTACATAGTTGGTATAAAGCTACAGCAAAAAAGGCTTGCTTTATAAAGTATAATTTCCAGATAGGAAAAATAAAATATGCATGTTTTGCTGCACATTTAGTACAGCATGTCCTTTGGCTGCACAAAAGGCTTCCACTGAAAATGATCTCTGTAATAGTCAGACCTGCAGCTACTCAGACATTGCGAGGAAGACAGCATGTACGCCGTAGTGTTGACTTATTTATCAAAGCATGTGTAGAACAACTTCTTAATGTTTGCTTAGGATCTGCCCGTACAAACAAGAAAATTAGTAGTACTAAGTATGCATACTCACCGCTTCACACAAACAACGAATCTCTACCAATCTCACCTTCTACATCCCTCTGCTCGTGCACGTGCAAGCTCATTAACATACCAACATTCCCCCAGAATGCCAAATATGGTCAACCCACATCCCTTTGAAAGTCGCAGTACCCTTAACGTAGAGTTACCTGTTGTGGAATAAAAGTAGCAAACAAGAAAGATAAAGGGGAAAGTATCACCAACAAGTTTAGATAGTGTGTCAGAAAGCTTTCCAGCATGCAGACTCAGGTCTGTGTGATCCTGCTTCGTTACTAGTTTCATTGTATTTTACATTGTGCTCTACAACATTTCTACTCTTTCCATACTGCATTTGTTGTCATACAATTTAAAGCTAATTAAAGAACTGTAGGATACTAAATAGAAATTTTGCACAGTGCCATTTTAGTGTACTTTGTGATTACATATTTGCTTTTAGTTTATTTATTTAATTTAAAGATTTTTAGAATTACAGAAAATATACCTGGCTCAGTTAAATCAATGTATTATACAGCAATATAGAGGATAGGGTTAGCCAGAATTAAAAACATAAAATAAATAAATAAAATGGAAAATATCAAATTAAGAAAAAACAAAAAAATGACTATTATCATAGTACTCTGATATCAACATTTCTATTTTAATTTAAAAAATGTTTCATCCTTTTTCATTTTTTTTGGTCTACTTTTGAAGTTAAATCATCCTCCATACCAAAAAGTAACATTACATTACATTACGACAGTACATTGGTAATGCAGATTGATCACAATCATGTGTCATTAACAAATCTACCCATTATGCATACATGGTCAGCAGTAAAGTATGGTTCTAAATGTCTGCACAAACACAAGAAAATATTGATAAATTGGATTCTATGCATACAAATAAACATATGCATAAGCTCATAACTGTGCCCCAGGGGAGGGTGGAAGTTCAGCTATGAAAGACTGTGGTGCCACTGGGCAGCTTCCCCATGTGAATGCGTAAGAGCCAAACTTAAGTCAAACTTTATATGAGCTCTGTCAGCTTTCTCTGAAGGTTAAAACTATTGTACAGATGGAGAAATAGATCACATTTCAAAGTAGGGCTGGTAGAGCAGATAGGGCAACAACAATCCTGAGTCATGTTCTGAACCAACAACCTTAAATGAACTTGGTGCTACCAGCCACCTGCAAAGCCCCCCCCATTGTATCTGTGTCCTGCAGTCTGACTCCTTTGACTCTCCCTATTCTTTATTCTCAGTGTTTCTCTCTCTTTCTTCTGCCTCTCTAATCTATATTCTGTCCTCTGATCAGAGAACAAGGTGAATCACTCCCCTCTCTCTCTTTTCTCTCTCTTTCTCCCCTTGCAGCCTGCACCACCCTGTCTCTTCCCCCTCCCACTCCCACACTCATGTTTAATTCTTAGCTTGACTTCCAGCTGAACCACTTTTCATGGATCCTAATGAGTTCCAGCTCCTACAACCATCCTTCCACTGCACCTTTGAAGTAGTGCGGAGACTCTGTAGTGTCCAGTCCAGTTTACACCACTGTAGGCTGATTTTAACCCCTTTCTCTCTATCTCCCAACCCCTTTTCTCTCTTTCCCTCCATCCCTGTCTGTCTGTATCACTTACTCCCGCATTTTTTTTTTTTTTTTTTTTTTTTTGTGTCCAGATAGAAGAAGGCTGCATTGTGCCCCAGAGATACACAGCCTTAGCTTGTCCAGTCCAGGCAGCCTTGGCAAGTTTGTGTTCCCTAGAGTGCAATAAGTGTGTGTGTGTTACATTTTTATCAAGTGTGCAAACCTGACTTTACACACTCGCTCCCTGTCCTACTCTTTCTCTCATTATCGTGTGTCCACTTAGCTGATGATCCATATCCATTTTCCACCCACATCTTTCCCTCAATGAAAGTGGCCTTCTTCTTGGCACTTCTAGAGGAAAAGGGCGTATGCAGAGTCTCCAGGTATGGTTTCATGTGACCGGCATCTGAGAGAAATGGACTAATGGATGGCGCTTATTCGGTGGAGTACAGCCACAAGGGCTGGAGGGCCCTCCAGACGTACAGCTGGACCATCCTCTAGAGAAGAGCTAGCATTTTGCATCTGAATGAGCTCCATATCAGGCTTTCTGTCTCTGTCACACACACACACTCACTTAACGCTTTCGCTCCATCTCTAGTCCAGTTTCTCCCTTATTCTCTGCAAATGTAACTCAATCTCAGTTTTTTCTGTCTCAGTTCATGTACTCCCCCCCCCCGCTCCACACACACACACACACACACACACACACACACACACTCCTTTGTTATTGTTATCTCTCTCTCTCTCTTCAATCTCTCCATCCGCTGTCTCACGGCTTCTCTCTCTACCCTTTCGTCTTGATCTGAATTCTGCTCTTTCCCCCGTTCCAGTCTCGTCCTTCATGTTAACCTTGCTCTCATTTTCTACTCTGGCTTCCAGTCCTCTCCTCGCCTCGCCTCTCACTAACTTTCTCTGTCGCCGTGTTTCACTTATATATTTTATTATCAGTCATGAAATTCTCCCGGTTACCTCTTTGTCCCTTTATTGACAAATGGACTAATCACAATTAAACCCAGAAAAACTGAAAATGAGGGAATTTAACCATAATCAGAGTGAGAAGTTTTTGCATAACAAGCATTCAAACTCTACATTGCTTTTTGGCAATCAACTCTGGCTCTGCAAAAGCAGAGCTGCAGTTATTTTTGATGGACTTGCGTCACTGCAGCATGGAATTTAATCTGAATTCATTTTGGAATTTGGTTCCTACCCAGTGATTTATTTCATGTAGTTACACTTAAAATTGAGTTGATGAGCTACTTGTACAGACTGAATTCAAATTTATGGCTATGAGTCTCCATGATTGCTGTTAACTCATGTGTGTATGGCATTTTGAAGGCAATCTGAATGTCTTTTGTTTGCTGTATGTCTCTGCAGGTGGGTAAATGGGAGAATGGTTCCCTGTCCATGAAGTACCATGTGTGGCCTCGCTATGAACTATATGGGGGGGCAGCAACCAGGGAGGATGACCACCTGTCCATCGTGACATTGGAGGAGGCTCCGTTCGTCATTGTGGAAGACGTGGATCCGCTGAGCGGGACCTGTATGAGGAACACCGTACCCTGCCGGAAACAGATCAAAACACTGTGAGGTTCAAAGCTCAGATATAGCAAATCAGTGTCAGAATCTGGGGTAGAAATGTAAAAACAAAAAAAAGGAGAAGAATACACTTCAAGAAGAAAACTTAACTTTAATTTCAGCATGCATACTGATGGAGACTGATTCTGTCCATCTGCCACATTAGCTAACAGATCCACCTACTGCACAACTGACCAAAGTAGAAATGAAAAAAACAAAACTGGCAACTGCCTAAATTTTGCTTGTGAATGATGTTAATTTCCCACGGCAGCTGTACAGAGCCAGAGGTAGAATCAGTTCACACTTCATCTGTGTGAGAGAGAGAGTGTGTGTGTGTGACAGTGCCAGAAACACAGAATCACGACTACAATTAAAAATGCCAATTCAGACAGAAGTACGTCTTTGATTAAATAATTATCTGTCTCATCTATCTGTTTATCTGTCTGCGCAGTAATCAGACGAAGGACTCTGGGATCTACATAAAGCGTTGCTGTAAGGGTTTCTGCATCGACATCCTGAAGAAGATCGCCAAGCAGGTCAAGTTCACCTACGACCTTTACCTGGTCACCAACGGCAAACATGGCAAGAAGATCAATGGAACATGGAATGGCATGGTGGGAGAGGTGAGGAGATGTTTGTCTTTCCGGGTCTACGTCTGTCTCTTACTTTAATGTTTGCAGTCAAATCTGTGATTGCGTGTGACGTATTCATCAGATACATACTAGCAAAGAACACTCCGCCCCAAAGTGGACAAATCTGAAAGCTGCCTCTTCATGCTCGTCTTGTGTAAATTATGTAACAGTCTCATTTGTAGATTGTTGGCAAAGCTTGAAAGTAAATATTTCACCTAATTCACAGTTTGTAACATCATCTTATCTATATTGATGTTACTGCAGTTTAAAATGCAGTGCTGAGACATTTGGGCGTACATTGCTGAAAGGTATCGGTATATTTGGCAACAAGTCAGCCAAGGAAAAGAGAACGATTTCTTTCCCTCCGTTTGAGGTCTAAACAGAAAATGCTACGATTACAAAACAGGCTTTGGTGCACAGAGGAGTCAGCCTTTGCACGGAAGTTGAAATTGACATTGAAAATGACTCCCAACAAAACAGTACAGTCGAATGTACAGTGCAAACAACAGAAAGACTTTCTTTTCCTATAGACTAAGCGTGTGTAGGCTGAAGCTTCCTACCCTTTTTGCAAAACACTTTCTACTTGATGTCAAAAGTAACATCATAAAAGTTCCTCACCTTCCCTGCTGTACTAATGCCAACATGAAATTATAATCAAACATTTTTATATTTGTCAATTTTTTAAACAAACACACATTTTCACATTTGTTAAATATGTATTTTTATATATATTATATTATATATAAACTGTGATTTATATTATATATAAACTGTGATTTATATTATATATAAACTGTAAATTAATATTATATATAAACTGTAATTTTGTACATCAGTCCTGACCTGATCTATAAACATGCAGATGTTTTCTAACTTTAAACAACTTTTGAATACTTTCAGGTAGTTGTTTATTTTTTACCTGAATTTTAGCACCCTTAAATTTCATTTAATGAACAGTTAGCTCTATTTAGATATATTTAAATAGCTAGTATATAAAGTGGATTTGGATTCCCCATACTTCCACACAATGAGTAATGCTCATATAACTGAACAATACAAGGTGTATTTCTTATTTTATACAATATTGCAATAGATTTTCACACTTTTTCTTTGACATAATTTATGTGCGTCTGTCAACGTTATTTCATTATCTCTCCCAAAAAAATAATTACAGACACTATTTCAGTTTCATTATCACTTATCGTAAGTTTTTTAATATGTAACATAATTGTCTAAGATGATGAATTTAGTTTTTACTTCAGTGAGATTGTTAAAAATCAAACCACTGTTTACAAGTTCCAACTCCACACTATCTAAACGTCTTAAATTCTTACAACTACAAAAACAATTGTATCATCTGAAAATAAAATACATTTTAAGTCTCCCAGCTGAAGTGCACATTTGCGTTTACAGCCACAAAAGAATGTGTAAATTGCCATCACTGTGCATTCAATGTGATTGTGGTTTTTGGTATTGTTTGAGTTTTTCCCGACGCCTGGAATTTCTTCCAAGGTGTTGGTGAAGGTGAAGAAAAGATCAAAGGGGAGACAGAGTTACAGTCTGTGTTCACCCCTGTGCTATATTTAGCTTCCATAGGAGCTGCCTGGAGGGTCCATTTCCTCTTTGAAGTGTGTTTTCATACCTTGAATTATGAGCTTTCCTTTCCGGGTCAACCCCTCTGCCCAACAGAGCTAACACTTGTGTCAGATGGGCTAAGCACCTCACCCAAGGGTGGGTACAGTTCAGTCAGCTGCAACAATTCACTCTGGGCACCTAAACATTCCCTAATCGACATTGGACCCGAAGTAAGGTCGTTGTCAGTTCTCATACTTCAACCTGTAAGACCGAGCTGCACTTCTGCTGTCTGACTTTTGCCATTAGTTAATAAAGGAAACGGCAAACAGATCGATAGTAGCCCAAAGGTCACGGGTTCAAAACACACACTGTCCCTCTTTGTGTGGACACTGAAGTTTAAGTAACCTTCAGATGCCAGAGCAAGATCATTTCTCCATTTTGTCCCACGGTAAAACTTTTTTTTCCTGTTCAATTTACATTAAACTGACCCATTTAATCTATTATGTAAAGCCATTTAAGTCCTCCTGCCAGTCAGCTGGTGTCTTTAGTGGGCACTGAGCTGTAAGTGTGGTCACCTGTAATAAACTCTATCATCCTGACTAAAAGCGCCATAATGTGCCGTCTCCTTCTCACCTCCACAGATGAATGGTCATTAGGAGGAGGAGGAGGAGGAGGAGGGGGAGGAGGGCGTGGGATGCAGACAAGGGACACTCGTGCATGAATGATCACAGAAATAAGAGAATACATGCATGAATGCAGACACATGGGCACAGACAGGCCTACACATCCAGACTGTTTGCATATGTGCTCACAGAGGACACTCGTAATGTCAATTTATCTCTCTCTCTCACATACACACATACACACACACACACTTGACTGTAGTTCTGCCATATCTGCTGTATCTAACAAAACCAACCCGTGTCCTTCTGCAGTTGGAACACAGCCAAAACTACAGTATATCTCTAACCCTTAATGGACCGAATCTGGACTGACACTGACACACACACACACACACACACACACTAGGACGTGCCTGGGCACACTCCTGGACACTCGCCGAGATCACTGAGGACCTTTATGCAATTTGCCACAGCTTGGAAAGACAAAAGATTAAAAAAAAAAAAAAAAGAATCTGCTAATTCTTTAAGAATGCCTACATTTTGTCCTAACTCAATTCCAGCGAGTGTCAGATTTTATGGGCTGCATTGACTTGTACTGCCCCTAATACTCCTAATCTAAATTATTAGAGGTAATGCACTTGATTACATGAGTTCTGGCCTCACTAGCAGAGTCACATAAAGACACCGGCGCACACATGGACACACACACACACACACACATACCAGCTGAGACACATACACATGCACAAGCGCAGATCCTCGCTCACTCATTCTCAATAACACCCACATGGGTCACTTTCATAACACGTAGAGAACAAGTCGTAGGAGGGAGATGGAGAGAGCGAACTGAAGAGAGAGGAAGTGAGTACACTGCTGGATGGACTCGCTCTCTCTTCCCCGGGGAGAGATTCACACATTCAGGCACTGAACGCACGCACCCCACACACACACAAACACACAAGTGAACATGCACACCCGCACTTACATGCTGACAGAACAAACAAGATTGAAAAGTTACAAATGCACACACAGATGTACACGCACTCTCACTAGCAGACACAAACACTTTGAAAACTGCAGATAATGTGCAGAGTAGATGTGTAATATTCTCCCTGCCTGTAAAGGTCCACTTCACAGGTGGAGAACAAAGGTTTGCTCACTTCTCTTTCTCTCTGTCTTTTTCCCTTTATGACTCACTCATATACACACACATGCAGACTCACACAGACACACACATACACTCTAACGCTGGAGCACATACAAGAGCTTTGACTCACACAGTCACAAACGCCTTATTAACTCACCAAGACAGTCTCGTCCCACTTTACCCCTGTGCTGTAGGGCTCTAAAATGTGGGGCTAAATATACCTGTGCAGAGGTACTGACGGGGAGGGAGGCAGGTAGAGGAAGGAGAGGCATTGGGGCGGCTATTTCAAGCAGACTTGACCCACTGTGGTAACCCACTTTCTGCCTCCCTCTTTCTGTCTTTCTCCCTCTCTCCCTCCCCTGGTACGCATCACGAGTGTCCACTCTGAGCGCTGTGTGTGTGTGGAAAGTGTGTTGACCTCCTGTCTTCACCAGCCGAGCTCTATCTTTGCGTCCGATGTCTCCATTCTCGCGGGTTTCTTTGCCTCACTTTGCTCACTTTAATTCTTCCCCCACTTTTTTTTATGTATCCGCTTTACCTCAACCTGTCCCATCTGCTCTTATGTCAGATTTGATTCCCTACATTTCCCAAAATATCTTTTGACAGCTAACAGAGAGAGTGCCTGTGTCTCCTGAATGCTTCATGCATGTTAATGGAGAAGGAAGACAAGTTTTCCTCTTCAGTCAGAACAAACTGAATGCTACACAGTGGTCAGGTAAAAAATTGGATATTTAATATTTGGACCTTCTGGAATGGATTTTGTACGATTTGCTGCACATCAGTATAAAGTGATGCGTCTTGACAGAGGTTATTGCTCTTGGATTATAAGACCTGACACTAAAGCCTAATATTTACTCCTGATATATTAGATTGCTAAAAAACCTTTCGGCTTAGAGGCTCGGTCACATTTATTTATTCATCCAGTAAAATAAAAACAGAACCAACAACAAAAAGACACGCAATGGACATAGCAAAAAGTTATTTTTCAGCAATGTTTGCACAATGCCCTTTAGAACTGTAAGTATGTCCATGTCACAATAACATTTTGTAACTTGGGGTGCTCTGGTAGCTCACCTGGTAGAGATGGTGCCCCATGTACAAAAGTCGGGTCCTTGTTGCAGCGGCCATGAGTTTGAGTCCTACCTGTGGCCCTTTTCTGCGTGTCATCGTGCTGTGATATGCTATTTTTATGCTTGTGTTATGAAGCTGTTTTTTTTTTTTTACTATGAGCTATTCTTAACTTTCGTGATTTAATTAGTTTTTGTAATGTTTTTATTGCCCCCTCTGGGAAAAGTTTAAGTTTTGGAACAGATGTTTCCTTGAAAGTGCGCTCCATTCATTACTGTACAGTGCTTCAGTAGATTGCTAGTGGATGGACGGATGAGGGATTTAACTAATGGAGGAATTTTGTCTTTCTGTTTTCCGGCTGCTAGGTGGTGTTAAAAAACGCCCACATGGCCGTTGGCTCCTTAACCATCAACGAGGAAAGGTCAGAGGTCATCGACTTTTCCGTCCCCTTCATTGAGACGGGCATCAGCGTCATGGTCTCCCGTAGCAACGGCACCGTTTCGCCCTCAGCCTTCTTAGGTGAGGAGCGCAGCAGCCAGCTGTCAAAAGTTGGGAGCAGAGATGTGTTGAAGGAAGAACCTGAAGGCGATGTTCTTGACATTTTCTGATATTGTAACTATAAGGCTAAAACCTGCTCAGCCTTTAGGATTGTCTTCTTTTCTTAGTTTTTGGGAAGAAAATGTTCACATCAGTAGTTATACCTGCTGCCAAGAGATTTGCATTGGGTGCTTGGACCCTATTTTTATTATTATTATTATTATTATTATTATTATTATTATTATTGTTATTACGTCAGATTTTGCAAAAAATAAAATGTCTCTAAGGCAGAAACCTCTCAAGGTGCAAAGGGGAAATGTGCAGGACAGGTTGTACCGGTGGAGATCCACCACTATAATGAATGGAAATGCGTAAAACCATCATTTTTATTTTCCCAATCAGTACTTTGAGCTGCATCATGTGGTATGGGCCACGCCCATTTCCTCCAGTATTTTCTTTGTATTATATTTGTATTTTTTTTTCCATTTTTAGACCAGATTGGTTTCAGAGAGTCTTTGGAATGAGTTAAGCAATTGTTTTAGTTTGATATAACTAGTCTTTTCTCCCGCACTGACACATAGAGTGTCTTTGTCAGGTCACTTTGGGTTGACATCCATTTTTCCACCTTTAGAAGTTGAACAAAAGTGATTCAGTGGACACACTAAATGATTAGAGCCAGGTTTTAATGCATTTGTATGATGAGGAGGCAGACTGGAGTGCATGATAATATGGCTAACTGTTTATTTATTCTCTCTTTCACTCCCTGTCTCTTTGCCCTCTTATATTTCCCACTCCTACTCCATTTCTCTGACTCTTCCTTCCTCTTCTCAATCTGACGCTCCACATTTGCATATCTCTCTTGCCCTCTCCCTCTCTCGCTTCATTTTCTCTTTCTCTCTGCCGCCCTCGCTCTTTCTCTGCCTCTTCCTCCCTCTCCCGTATGTCCCTCGTCTCCTCCCCATCTTCTGCCTTCTGACAACCCTCTTTTTCTACCCTCTCTTCTCTTTTCCTAATCTCTGTCCGTCCATGCTCCCTCCCTCAATCCCTCGTCTCCCTTCATCTCTCCCTCTCCTCTCTTCCCTCTCTCGCCCTCCAGAGCCCTTCAGTGCGGATGTGTGGGTGATGATGTTCGTGATGCTGTTGCTGGTGTCAGCAATGGCTGTGTTTATATTCGAGTACTTCAGCCCTGTGGGCTACAACCGCTGTCTGGCTGACGGCAAAGGTGAGAGGCCTCACTTCAACACACGCACACACACATAGACACATGCATGGTACCTAAGCGTTGGGGGGGGTGCAGATGTAAATGGATGCAGTCACTTTCTCTTCCAGTCTTCCAGCCGTGTTGCCTCCCTCATCTCTCACGCTTTTCGTTCAGAACACACCAGATGGGAGGGCGCGCTTAGGTTGCATTTACCAGTGAAATTATACCTTTGCAACATGTTCTGAAAGTGATGTATTACTTTGGAACTAAAGTTAGACTTTTTCAGCACTTCACAGTTAATTTGTTTTGTGGGAAATGGAAGGCTATTCACATCTACATGACAATAAAGCCTTCAGAGTGAGAGTATCTGAATAGTTTAACTGTATTCACCGCCAACACATATTACATTGAATCAAAAACACATTTAGTAAACCAAATGACTCGTATATAAGCACATTTTGTAGGAGGATAAGCAGTGAATATGTTTTAGTGGACACATCTAACACACATACCCAAAGCAGATACCTTGAATAATACTTTATCTGTTTCTTGTGGCATCATCTTTTCCCTGGCTACTTCCTGCCATTTGCACTGACAAATTGATAAATACTTTTCCAGGCTTCTGATTTTCTGAATAGCATCTGAATGGGAGAATGTTTAGCTGCCAACTTTAAAGCCATGGATGTGATACTACCACCAGCACATAAAAGCAGTTTTGTTGAAGAAACAATCTGATGGGGAAATTATGGATTTAAATCAAGCCAAGGGCTATCTCTCCACCAAATCTTCAACATTCAAAGAGGGATTGAAAACATAAAATGCTTTAAACTTTGTTGGTAAAGTCTGCGAATGAGGATTCAAAGTATGCAGAGAACATGGCGGCGGGCAATTTGTCCCTCTAGAGAAAGAGTGTTCGATGAGTAATGCTCCAACTAGTAATTTTCACCAAACAAGCAAGCACAGGTACAGCTTTGCAGGTTAATGCATTCTCTCCGTAACAATACCAGCGCGAATTGTCTTGTATGCATTGTCCTTTGCTACGCACAAAGACTGACAGAGACAGAGACACGCACAAACACACTGCGGGCCGCCTCCACATATAGACCAGCCGTCCTCACTGACCCAATGACTTCATTCTCCTCTCCTCCTCCTCCTCTTCCTTATCCTCCTCCACGCTGCTCTCTACTTATCATTTACAGGTGTGTCTCGCTGCATGGGTTTTAACACGCATCCAAGAGTCGCTTCCTTCACACTGGACAAGCCATTTGCATTCATTTCCATATTTCCCAAAATCACGTGTCAGCTCTGACAGCATCGGGCTAGTTTTGTGTTAGATCTTCCCAGCCAAAAAGATGAGAAACAAAAAAAAAAAAAAATCAATGTCTTCCCACAACTCCATCTCTGATGTGGCTATATATAGGCAGTGGCTATCTTTTTTTCATTCCTCTCATCCTTCATCATGTTCTGGAGAAGATGTACTCCTCCCTAAAGCGCTGTTCTCTTCTGTGTGCCTCCTTGTTTTATCTGCTTGTAGCGCTGTGGGAGTTTGGTATCATGAAGAGTGCAGATCGAAGTTCGGACTCAAAGGACTGGACGCAATAATGTATCAATGGCATGACTGCAGATTTGTGAAGCCTCTGCCCGATTCATTTAACCAACTTTCTTGCGAACTTCACAAAGCAGATATTTGGCACAATAAAGCCCGTTTGTCCATGAACAAAAGCCCCATACAACAATACGCGCCCACATGCTTGCACACAAACTCTCTCTCTCTCTTTCTCTCTCACACACACTCACACATACCCACACAAACATTATGAACCAACTGCTAATCACAGCAGAAAGGCTAGAATGAACCAGTCTGCTGCCAGCTCATGGATGAATTGAACCAACACTGTTCCTAACCTACACAAAAAATAACAATCAATTACATTCACGAGTGATATATGTGTGTGTATAGCTGATATAAGTGAAAAACAAAAGTCTACCGCCATTCTAGAAGCTCTGTGAGGCTTTTCTAAAATCAAACTGCTAATGCCAGTATGGTAAGATGCGTACAATTTACTATTGTTCATCAGCTTAGTTTAGCTTGTTAGCATGCTAATGTGTGCTAATTTGCACTAAACACAAAGACATGAATGTGTGAAAGCAGATCAACTGTGTGTCCCGTGCAGTGGTTTAGAAACCAAGACCGATCTGCAATGTATTCTTTAACCATGGCTGCGTTTCTTTCAGAGCCTCACGGTCCGTCTTTCACCATCGGTAAGGCCATCTGGCTGCTGTGGGGTCTGGTCTTTAACAACTCCGTGCCGGTACAGAACCCCAAAGGCACCACCAGTAAGATCATGGTGTCGGTGTGGGCCTTCTTTGCTGTCATCTTCCTGGCCTCCTACACTGCCAACCTGGCTGCTTTCATGATCCAGGAGGAATATGTGGACCAGGTAACTGGTCTCTCAGACAAAAAGGTAAGATGGATGGTTTCTGTTTGATGCTGTGCTACCCAATCTTCTTAATTTGTTAAGCAGGATTTTGACATGCCTCTCTCTCCATGCTCTTTTAGTTCCAGAGTCCCAACGACTTCTCTCCTCCTTTTCGGTTCGGCACCGTCCCAAACGGGAGTACAGAGAGAAACATCAGGAACAACTATCCAGAAATGCACTCCTACATGACAAAGTTCCATCAGAGAAACGTCAACGAGGCTCTGCAGAGCCTCAAGGCTGGGTGAGGAAACTGAAGTGGCCCATTTAGTTTCATTGTAAAAACAAATGTACAGATACAGTCCACGGATCATGTTTATCCCTATTTGACATCGTCATCTAGAGATACTGAACAGTGTATTCTGGTGCATTTTGTGTCTTGGCTTCAGGCACATAAACATCTGTTATTTCAGTAGTTTATCATATTGAAAGCTGTTTTTTGCATTTCCTAAATAAGAAGGGGAATTAAGTCTTATTGTAGCAGCTGTGGTGATTTTAAGGGAATCAAAAGCACACTATAGTGCAGGCAAACAACTCCCTAAAAGTATGGAAGCGTCAAACAATGGTCATTACATTGTAGACACATACTGTAATAGAAAGTGTAAGTTGAGGGGAAAAAAGTCCCTGTTTATGTCTTTCTTACTTGTCTTCATGTAAACATATTGCAGCTGAATAACTCCAATAATACTTTCACTCCCCCTCTTCTGTTTTCATCAAGTGTTCCTTTTCACCAGTCTGTGTGCCAGCTCCAGCCTTTGGCAAACCAAGTGGAAGTCTATTACACTTATCAGCAGCTTAGTGCTATTTAGCAGGTTAATTGGAATGTTGTAGCTGTGATGTCTGACTCCTAAGTGCTAATTAATTGTAACCTATCTCTCTCTCGCTTTCTGCCTCTCTCTCTTTTTCATTAGCAAACTAGACGCTTTCATTTATGACGCGGCCGTACTGAACTACATGGCTGGCAGGGACGAGGGTTGCAAGCTGGTGACCATTGGCAGCGGCTACATCTTCGCCACCACGGGGTACGGTATCGCCATCCAGAAGGAGTCGCTCTGGAAGAGGCATGTGGACCTGGCCATCCTGCAGCTCTTTGGAGACGGTGAGGCGGAGTGCTGTTTCCTCCGTTGTCTTACTCACACTGCTCAGTTTAATACTCTCAGCGAACAGAGACTCTGCCATGCGGACCGCACAGCTGTGCTGAGTTGTTTATTTAATTACTCAAAGATGCAGCGGATAGTCACTGAGATAATTCCATACTCTACCGGCGAGGGGAAACAGAACATGACTTCTGCTCGACAGCCCTGAAGCAAACATAGAAGGATAAGTTCGACTTATTTTAACAGTAGTCAGAATATTTTGTCCTCCGAACAAGTTAAGCTGAAGGTCTGATGTATTTTCTTGCAGTGTCACACGTCCCAGGTCTCAACAATTAACTTCAAAAGTATAATGTTATAATAACCAATAGAAACAATGGCAGAACCCCAAAAAATAAGATCTAAAGCTAAGGTAATAAACCTGAGTAATCCTTTAAGAGTTAATGTGAAGCGCTTGATTTACCCACAAATATGCTATGAATAAATCTTGCCTCAGGCTGTGCTGGAGGGACAAACAACAGTGGCCAACTTTATTTCTCATGTATATTAGTGTAAAATACACTGTTTTCAAGAATGTTTTCTCTAAACTCAGGTTTCTCAGACAGTAAGATTTTAGGGTTTCACCCACTCGCCATCTGTTCAGGATAACAACTGGTAGAGGAAGGGGAAATCTTTGTGTGTCTGCAACCACAATTGTGCTATTTAATTGGCTCTGCAGGTCAAAATTACAGTAATTCCACTCTCATATATAATAAGAACAGACAGAGAAGGTAAGACAGCGCTGCTAGGAATATAAGTTGAGATTTAGCTCCACCATGGGGGCCCTATGCTTTATGATCATGCTTGCCTTTTATGGGAGACTGTCCAAGCTCTCCAGGGCTTGTTCTTTTGAAACACTTCATTCCTGTCAGCTGTAGCTGGAACATTAATGAGTCTCGAATGAGCAGGGAATGAAATTAAATGTGTTCAAAATGTCCATTCCTAACCCATATAGTATATGTTTTATGGTTTTCAAGCAAAAACTCCTCATCATAAACAAGTCAAAATGTCACAGACAACGGCTGCTCGCTGAGTTTATCGACTTTAACAGTGTAATTTCACAATGTCCTGTTTTGATATACAGCTCAATTCAGAATGGGTAATGTAATGGAAGTTTAGTGTGTGTGTGTGTGTGTGTGTGTGTGTGTGTGTGTGTGTGTGTGTGTGTGTGTGTGTGTGTGTGTGTAAGTGTGTGCGTGCGTGCGTGGGTGCGTGCACGCGTGCGTGTGTTTAGGTTTGTGTGTGTTAATTTGGGCATGGTCCAGCATGTTGTGAGCATCCTGAACCAAGGGCCCTCCGGGGCCCACTATAGTGCGTCCCAGATAGGGGTGCCAGCATAGCTCCTGGTGTATTTCAACACTGTGTGTATCGAGTGCGCGGGTTTGTGTGCGCGTGTGTGCACGCACATGTGAATATGGGTCAGGCCTCTGAAAATGAGAGGGCCTATGTGTGTAAGCGAGAGGCGTGTGTGTGTCTGCGTCTGTGTGTGTGTTTTGGAGATAAAGAGAGCGTGGTGTAGAGATTCTGACTATTTATGACACAGGTTTATTTTTATCAACCTACATACAATTCAGTAAGAGTTTGTGTGTATTGTTTCTGACTCATTGATTATAAGTTTGATTATTTGTATGTTTAACTTGTGCGTCTGTGTATGTTTTTTGTCAGAGCACATGTGTCTGCGTGTGTGTTTGAATATGGGTCGGCTTGCAGTTACATCCCCCGGTGCAAAGCATTCACACAGGAGCCAGGCGGCCCCGTCTCGCCCCTCTCAGGATACCAATGTCACTTTGCCACGCCTCACCATCCACTCCCCTCCTGGTGGCCTAGAAAGCGATCAGACTCACGTGGAGAGCCCAGTGGCCTGGTACGAATGCTGGAAGGGAGTCTGGCTAGTTTGACGCAGGCCGGAGCAAAAAATATATCACAGCTGTCGTTAAAAAGAAACAGCGGTTTTGATTGGTGATTTTCTGATTCGCTGTTGGGTGGAAAGTTTTGAAGTCATTTACAGTACATGTTGAGTTTAATGACCTTTCGCACTTGAATCCAATGAAAGCCCGTCAGAGATACCAGGCATCAATGATGATTTCCTCCGTTCCAAAATGTACTTTTTAAATGATTGTGTTCATACTTTTAGGTATTAGAAAATGGAAAGTGAGAACAGGGGAAACAGGAAAGAAGACAACAAGCAATAAGGTTTTTTTTTCTGAACTAACAGTCTAAAGCTGTCCTATTTAATTTAATGATTACTAAGTCAAACATCAGCTAAATCGTCTTTCTTTCACTTGAATCTTCAAATATCCATTATTTTACTCCTTGCATTTTTGTCCACAAAGCAAGGCACCATAAAAGTTAAACGGGAGCTTAGCTGAGCATAAAGAAAGAGTTTGTACACAACCCCCTGTAACATAGCAAGCTGTTGTTTTTACACTTTAGTTTCTGTATTGATTAAACAAACAACATTCTGTATATCCATGTTAATTAGTGAATAAATGCTGGTACAGTTAGCGCATTTCGTTAGCTTTGTACTTGCTTGCCATTTCTCCCAGTTTCTGGTGTTTATGCTAAGCTAAGCTAACAGGCTTCTGGCTTTAGCTTCATATGTATTTCCCTCAATGTCCGTCATGTATTTCCTCAACCGTCAACTTAAACTAAAAAACTTTCATAGACCTCAGACTTGCTTGAGATAAATGCGTCTTGCCTAAGAAACCACAACAAAACAATCTTAGCTCATATCAATTACCTTACATCTCATGGTTTTCATCAGTGGATGGAGCTCGGTTGTCATCATTAGACCTACTGTAAGTATGGAGCTTCATATGAGGAACATTTTGAGACGCACTCAAAGCTCGCAGTTAAAGGAACCGTACATGTGTCCATGTTCGCTCTTACTTTTTGCTAAATAAAAAAAAAATGGCATAACTTGCAGAAACAAACCCCTTACAGGTTGGCCCAGCACTTCGCCAGAGCATCTTTACTTCGAGAATTTGCAGAAGTTGTTGTGTTAATATGCTTAGCTCATACAAATGCAAGCGTTATATACCACTGTCACGTTAAAATGGTTTCACAGTCAGTTTCTCAGCAGCGATGTGGCCCAGTGACTGCTGAACAATTGCATCTGTATTTTGTGTGTGTGTGTGTGTGTGTGTGCGCCTCCCTGAGTTTGTATGCTGTGGAGCTTCTTGTTGATGATGCTCAGAGGCCAGCCAGTGCTCCGGTGCAAGAGTCGCACTGACGTGCAGCGACTGAATGTATGATTAATTAAGCGATGCCTGTCCTGCCACAGTCGGCTTTGATAGAGAACAGCTTGTGATGAAACAGAAGGTGACCCACAAAAGAGACCAGAAGCTCAGGGACCAGCATCAGACACACGGACACACACACACACACACACACAAACACACTTATATGCACATACATACATGCACACACTTGTTTTATACAATTTGCATAGATGCATGCACGTGTTGATGCTAAAGCTGTGACATATTGTGTGGTAATCGCTTAGAGACACAATTATTTGCTGAAATGAGTGCAAAAAAGATCAGTGTAATTAGCATGTGACCAATGGCGTGTGTTTTACTCTTTTCCTGTCTGCAATGAAGTCTACTGCAAAATTCAAGGCTGTATTTCACTTCTAACTCCCCTGACCCCCCCTTTCCCTCGCCTGCCCGCCATCTTCCCTCCTCTCTTCTTCTGTTGCATCATCTCTCCATCCCCCCGTGCCCTCCAATACCCATCCTGTTATTACATCATATCCCTTCTCTCCCCTTCCCACTTTTTTTGCTCCCCTCTTTTTATTTGAATTCCCGTACGAATTATAAAAACACTTCTCCATGTGTCGTCATAATGCCCCTATCCTCTGTCTCGTCTCCTTCTCTTCTTCTGTCCGTCCGCATATCTCCCTCCCTCCTTGCCTCCATCAACTCTTTACCATCCCTCCTTCTGACCCTCTCATCCGTCTCTCCCTGCCTCCTTCCCTTTCATACCATCTGTTTCTCCCTCCATCATTTTACTCTTTCCCTCCCTCCGCCCTTCCTTTCTTCTGCCCGTGTCATTTCCCCCATTCAGGTGAGATGGAGGAGCTGGAGTCCCTGTGGTTGACGGGGATCTGCCACCACGAGAAGAACGAGGTGATGTCCAGCCAGCTGGATGTGGACAACATGGCCGGTGTTTTCTACATGCTTGGTGCTGCCATGGCTCTGTCACTCATCACCTTCATCTGTGAACACTGGTTCTACTGGCAGCTGCGCTTCTGCTTCATGGGTGTCTGCTCTGGCCAGCCCGGCTTCGTCTTCTCCATCAGCAGGGTGAGACAGGGCAGGGAAAAGGGAAGACAGGAATTACAGTTTGTGCTCAGACTGAGCTGATATCCAAAATACTGTCATAATTAATTAATAAATCATAAATGTATCCTTTAGTGTGGTAAAAGAGAGAAAAATAGCTTATCTACTCACTGTTGGAGACATTTGCTACTGAGAAATGTCCATCAGCTTGTCATGGCTTGTACTTTTTCATAAATATTCTGATTGATAGATTCAGATTGCCAATCAATTCTGACAAAGACACTGTGGAGCTGACACATTTCACACCATGCCTGTGTATTCAAGCATCAAAATCAAAGAAGCACAGTAGTATCGCACTTCACTGCCTGGTGCACCTTCCAAACTCTGCAGTGGCTGATATAAATAAACGTCAACTTTTCGCAACTACTATCTTTGCCTCTCACAAATACAAAGGTGCCAATATCTGGAAAGTTGAGGATTTCAGCTTTGAGACTTTGTAACTTCTGAAAGAAGAAAGAAAACATACTTCCTCTCACAAATGAAGAGTTGTATTCATAAGCAACGAAACACACCCTGGCTCAGTTCAGTATACTCAAAAGTCCCAGTCCCTTGGTCTGGTATGACCAGTAGCTTATGGTGGCTAATTGTTGCTGATGTTAGCAAACTTTAGATTAATATTGCTACGTACTGTACCTGACATTACCCAATCCAATGGTTGAATCTATGATTGTTGTGCTACTGTTACACTACTTTTTAGCATTTATCATTAGCTCTTAGTAGGAGTTAATGCTCATCTGATAGCAAAAGATACATCCTGATTATTGTCAGCACTCTATAGGTATAAATGAAAAATAATGAATGAAAAATATGATGCTTCCTTATGCCATTAAGTATACATTGTGTGGGTAGATTCTTTCACAGTTGGGATGAAAGATGGGAAATGGGTGGTTCTAATGGGACAGAAGGGGTGAGGATGTAGATAAATCTATGAGGAATTAAAGGATGGATGATGCATGATATTGCAACCAAAGTCAACAACTAGAAACTAACAAAACATCTAGATATGTTTTAACTCTCCAACCTGTGTTACTGACTCCTTCTCGTTTGTAAAGTTTGTAAAGTGCCTACATCATCAGCGTGTCTCTGAAATGAAAGTGCTTTACTCTTCGTGGCTTTAGAGGTGCCCAAAGCAACCCAAACTCTCACTTCCAAAGTATAAACCGATATAGGACCGTGCTCCTTTTGTTTTGATGCTTAGGCCTTCCTGATGTCCATGAGGTAAATATTTACAAATGTTGAGCCCAAATCAATATTTCACTCAACAAAAATCAGCCACATAACCGGAGAGGGTAGATTACTGGATCCCAGGAGACCAAAGTCACCCCCAAGGTATTTGATTTGCATTCCAATTGTTTTGACATGGCTTCGGTGTAATTCACTGCGTGCCTCTGAAGGTGAAGCGCTGCAGGCTAAACCACGTGGCTAATTTACAGCAGAGAGCCACACACTGCTGCTCTCTCCCTCTATTTGATATGCTGCTGTGGCGCCGGAGCTGCTTGTGCCAAGAAAGCAAGGCTACGTTAGAAAAAAAAAGAAAAAAAATACAACATAACATTTTCCCCTCTCTGCTCTAATATTACGCTCCAGTGCCCAACTTTGATTATTTTGTATGGTGTTAATTTTACGTTGTCACTGTCGCCTTGTTTATAGCTGTGTGTGCGTGTCCGCGTCTGTTGTGTAGAAGGAGCATAAAAGATCAGTTGTTAAAATGTCAGTTGACTTCTCATTTCCAAAGACAGGCTGCTTGGTGTTGTTTTTCATTATTACATCATTATAATTTGTATGGAAACTGGATCTGAAAGCAATTATGCTTTGTATAACATTCAGTGATTGCTCTCATTTTCAGAAATTACCTCTGTCTTTGCTACAATGTGACAACATAAATGAACTCTGTGTGTCCACAAATGCAGCCAGATGATTCAGCATGTTAAAATATTCAGGGGAAATATTCATTGAGAGGGTTCATTTGCATATGTAGCAAAGAGCTCGGGCATTGCGAAACAACAACAGAGGAAATTACAGTTTATTATCTTTCCACAATCCTCGACCACAGCCTCACATTGTCTCCTTCTCATTTACTCTCCAGCCTCGGCCATTTCTTCCTTTCTTTTTTCTTTTCTTGCTCTGCCACTCAGATTGATTCCGCTTTTTTAATTTCACAGCATAATCCAATAAACTTTATTGTTATTGCTGCAATTAACATTTAAGCTCGGCAGTGTAAAAAATGAGACATCTGTCACGGTCGGCGTGAGTCACGTGACTTCGGTCATGGCTTCACGGTCGGTTAACGTTCCCTCCCTCCGAGGGGCTTGGTAGTTCTGTGAGCGGCTCTCCCCCGGCTACCTGCTCCTCCGGGTCCCACCTGCAACACTGAAACAAATTAATTATATCGATTTAAAAAGCCTCTAATGACTTTAGAACAGTAAATGTATTAGAGGTTTAATCACTCCTCATTTCACAGCCCTCACATCACATCATGGCTAAGTTCATTTGCATTTAGCACCATATACGTACACCACACACAGACTGTATCAAATTATGAGCTGCTGCATGTACAGTAGGCACTCTGTATGCAGTCTTACAGAGTGGGCAGCTAGCTATTTGTTGATTTTCTGCCTCTTGGTACCAGTGTAATCACTTATAGATTTTGCTCTGATCCCCCGGTGGATTGAAAATTCTTAGGAACCCTCAGGCCACAGTTATTGCTATTCACACATCCTGCCCAAATAATCAGCTACTGTAGCAATGGGCCAGCAGCAATCTGCCAACTGTTACATTATGTGGGCATGTGGAGTAGACAAAATCTGCTGTTGAATACGAAGTAGCAATCACTTTGTTAAATGTCCAAGATTTGATGCACTACAGTATTAAGTTGTTGTTCCCGGTCGTGGTTGTTGCTTATTTGTGCGTGTTTCCAGAGGGAAAGAGCTTAAAAAGGCACAAATATTTATCCCGACGTCACCCTCGAACACCATTTGTCAATACAACACACTCTCACTGTCTATGGTATACAGGTGAAAAGATACTGGGGAAGATCATCCTAAAATTAAGGTGAACTCTTTTGCAAACTTCAGCCTAAGACTGGATGATGTCATAGATGTCATGGGGGAGAGATGTGACAGATTTGGCAGCAGGTGGGGTATAATCAGGATAATAAAGGAAGAAAAACAAAAGAGATGAAGTGGTGACAAATTATATAAACAGGCAGATGGAAAAAAGAAACACAGATGAGACAGAGAAGGACCAGATAAACATTGAAAGATGGTTCTAAGTGAAAAAAAAAGTTGAAATATCACGCAGGTGGGCGTATACATTTGTCCTCCACTTCAAGACTCCATCCAAATCCCATATTTCTGCAATACTGTTGAGTCATTTTGTATTTATGCTAACCTCTCTTGCTTTTAGCCACTGTCAAGCTTTACATACTTGGCTGTTAACAGACTGTGAAATTGAAAGAAGTAATAACATTATCTATAAAACGGGAATGAAGGATGAAGGCCTTCTTGGTGCAATGCAGGCACTGCTAATTAACTACCAGAAACAAGTGGTTAGGGAAAGGAGAACTGGGGGTCAAAGAGTCATATTAGTGGATAAAAAGAGGAGTCAAAGCTTAACAGAAGAGAATATTTGACAGCCGGCTGACCCCTAACCTCAGTCCTGACCTCGGCAGTGGCGAGCAGGACGGAGGTCAGCTGATCTATTATCTCCAGCAGTGGCCAAAGCATCCCTTTATTTCCATACTCATCTACAAACGTCCAGAAAAACCGAGTATAATCATTGTTTCGAATTGATCTGATCCTTTACCGTCCCCATCTGTCATGCCTGGTCTGCTCTCCTCTGTACATCCATTTTTATCTGAATATTGTATCGTACATCACTGAATGCAAATGGGGCAGTTTATCTTTGTGTCACTGTAACACTCAGCCAATGTCTCCTCGGCTTGGCCGTTCTCTTCGGAGGGGATTGTGGCGTGGCCTGGGGCATTGAGGGGTAGTGAAACAGAGGTGTTTAATAACTGCCAGAGGATATTGTTCAGACGAATTCTAATCGCATTGATTAAAGGTATTGACCAGTGGGACCCAGGGGTTTTTACAGTCCCTTTGCCTTTATCAATCATCCAGCTACACTATCCTCTCTGAATCGTCATACTGTATGCTCACTTACACTGTCAAACAGCTAATATAATACATGTTGCATAATTAAGTGTGAATCTATCGTGACGTCCCCCTTTGGTTTGTGAAGTATCGTTTTGAAGCTTTGAGGTTGCCGTTATGGGTGTCGCCATGTTGGGTTTTTGCTACCAGCAACAGTGACGTACTGCAAAATTGAGCTGTGCTCACTGGTTGCTCATAGTTCCAACCTGTCTGTAGGGTCACACACTTATGTGTTATGTATAAGAGAACAGTTCAGGCAAGAAATAGGCAACACACTAACAGAATCTTGATTCATATCTGATCAGCACTGCCTAGTTTGACAGTTTGATTTGAGTTTCATGCGCTGCGCTGGACGGACTCATTGAGAATGACTTCAGTCACAACATAGCTACGCCCAAAAGCATACTCTGCTTTATCGTATATTTTACTCTAAATGGGACCATAATTTACTAAATAAACGTCATGCTCTATGGAAGAAGAGTAGAAATTAGAGACTGAAACCATAAACTCATTAGGAAACCGTTTACTGAGCTACTAAATCAATTGAGAAGTCGGATCATTTTCAACAGAGCTGAATACAAACGCAGGTCTTTTTGATAAAAATGGAGCTGCCCCCTGCTGGACATTAGATAGAAGACAGGTTCAAGTTACTTCCACATTGGCCTCACTTCTCAGACCCAAAAACTTTTGTCTGCTATTTATTTATTGTTAGTGTCTACATATATATGTAACGTGTATGTCTGTGTTTACGTACTATATACTGTACTGCATTAACTGAGTAAGGTATTGACAGCATCAGCAGAAATTATTGAACTAATGGTTAAAATGACCAAATTTTCATAATGTTCACTCTTTAATCCTGCCTCTATTTCCCCCCTCACAGGGTATCTACAGCTGTATCCACGGGGTACAGATTGAGGAGAAGAGCAGCTCAGCATTGAACTCCCCATCAGCCACCATGAACAACACCCATTCCAACATCATGCGCCTCCTACGCACCGCCAAGAACATGGCCTCCCTGTCAGGGGTAAACGGCTCTCCACACAGCGCTCTGGACTTCATTCGCCGTGAATCCTCTGTTTATGACATCTCGGAACACCGGCGCAGCTTGGCGGGCCACTCAGACTGCAAGCCACCTTACCTGCCAGAAGACAACATGTTCAGTGACTACATCAGTGAGGTGGAGAGGACGTTTGGCAACATCCACCTGAAGGACAGTAATCTGTACCAGGACCACTACCTGCACCACCATGGCTCGACACTAGGGCTCAGCGGACCTCCTCCCAACAGGCCCCATAGTTTGGGCAGTGCTAGTTCTCTGGAGGGTGGCATGTTCGACTGTGACAGCCTGGGTGGAGGGGTGGCCCCTATTTTCACCACCCAGCCCTGCTCAGCACTGACCCACAGGAACATGAGCAAGTTTGACCTGCTGTCTGGACAGACTCCTCCCCCAGGCCAGGGCTTTAAGGGAGGCCTGCCGGACCTGTACGGGAAGTTCTCCTTTAAGGGTGGTGCCTCGAGTTCCACATACATCCCTGGACATAATTACTGTGGAGGGAGAGGTGATGATGATGGGAATATACGTTCAGATGTCTCTGACATTTCCACGCACACAGTAACTTATGGAAACCTGGAGGGTAACGCCAAGAAGCGCAAACAATACCGTGATAGCCTGAAAAAGAGGCCGGCCTCTGCCAAGTCCAGACGGGAGCTGGATGAAATTGAGCTGGGTTACAGGAGGAAACCGTACCACATCAGCCACCACCACTACCACGGCCACCGCTCTACCTCCCCACCACTTTTCCCCTCTGAACGTAAGAGAGGAGGAGGAGGTGGAGGAGGAAACAATGATGCGAACTATCTCTTCAGAGAAAAGGAGAGCGTTAGGGATTTTTATTTGGACCAGTTTCGGCCCAAAGAGGGCGTCCCTCAGTGGGAACATGTGGACCTGACAGAGGGCCCTGGGAACAGAGATGGAGTAGTGGGGGCCTGCACCACCCTGGTTCCGGTGGATGACTTTCTTAAGAGCAAACCCAAAAAGTCTGATACAAAGAGCGGGGGAGGATCTGGACTGGCAGGGGGAGAGTGGGAGTGCAGAAACTGTCGGGCTAGCGGGGGAGGAGGGGGCAAGCAGATGTCCATGCATGGAGGAGGTGGTGGTGGGTATGGTGGTGGTATAAGCTGCGGGTCCTCGGGAGGCGGAGGAAACAGCCGCCCTAGCTCTGCGACCTGCATGCGCTGCGAGGGCTGTAAAAAGACAGGAAACCTCTACGATATCAGCGAGGACAACAACCACCTCTTGGAACAGATGGGGGGAGGGTCAAGTGGGGGAGGAGGAGGCGGCATGGGTGCAGTCCCTCAGTCTCAACCTCAGGGCCAGCAGAGGAGGAAGGGTGGAGGATTAGGCAAACCACTTAGGCGGCAGCACTCATATGACGCATTTGTCGACCTTCAGAAAGAGGAGTCAGGTGGGATGGGAAGTTTGATGGGGGGTCTAGGAGGAGGTGGAGGCGTGAGCGGGGCAGGAATGGGAGGGATGCTGCCCCCACCCAGAAGTGTTAGCTTGAAGGAGAAAGAACGCTACATGGAGGGCACCAGCCCCTTCGCACACATATTTGAGCGTCACGGGGGCTCGGAGAGAGAAAGGGAAAGAGACAGGGACCCATTGTTTTACGGAGGTGAGGGCCGGAAAGGTTCCGGCTCACCATTCGGCCTGTTCAGAGGCGGTGAGGGCCTCCACCGCCGATCCATCGGAGAAAGAGACATGAGAGACAGGGATAGGTCTTTGATGGAAGGAGGAGGTGGGGGAGCGTTCTCTTTATCCAAATCTCTTTACCCTGACCGGGTAAACCAAAACCCCTTTATACCCACCTTTGGTGACGACCAGTGTCTGATGCACGGAGCCAAACAATATTACATGAAAAAGCAACAGCAGCAGCAACAAGTTGCCAAAAACAGCCGAAGTGACTTCAGGAGCCAGATGAGCACGGCGTCATATCTGCCAGCGTCCGCCACGGCCGGGGTGATGTCCAACGTGGCCCCCCGGTTCCCGAAAGAGCTCAGCCTTGGTGGAATGAACCACCATGGCTCCATGCTGGGGGTTGGCCCCCCGCGTCCCTTCAATGGAAGCAATGGCCATGTGTATGAGAAACTCTCCAGCATTGAGTCTGACGTGTGAGAGAAAAAGGGGGAGGAGGAGCCGACATTGGCAAGGGAGAAGGAGGGGAGGAATAGAGGCACATAGTGTTAGGAGATCAGGGATGATTTTACAGACACTGTACACACACTGCAACCCTAGCCCATATTGGGAAAGCAAGATGAGGTAAAAGAGGAGAGAGCTAGAGTAGGCAAAGACTGAAAGGTAGAGATTGTGAAATAGAAAGGGGAAAAGAAATCTTGATTTTTGCAAGAAAATCTGGGTAAAAAAATCAGGACACCCTGAGGAGGTGTGGGATTTTAACCCTCTCTCAGAAATGGCCAAAGCTATTCTACTTTTGTGTCCAAACACAGTCAATTAACATTCCCCCTCAACATCACAAATGCACTCCAACTCCAAGTCCATCATTTCATCCACCAGTGAGGCAGAAGTCAATGTACTTGGTTATTATCGCAAAGAGGTGACACCTCATCTTAGTTCGATATTGGACATGTGAGCCTGGTGCGATTTGATGGCTGTCTGAGAGCTCCCGCTGAGCTCTTATGAAGAAAGACTGCGAGAGTGGAGAGAGGAGCGAACTGCCCATCTGCCCCTGTGTCACCGCAGAAAAGGAGACATTGTCACGTTTACACAGGAGATGACTAGTGCTTCTTTCTCTCCCTCTCTCTCTCTCTCTCTCTATCTCTCTCTCTCTGGAAGGAGACAGCCTGGCCTGTCCATCTCTCTCCGTCCTGCACTCGTCCCTATCTTCTGTTCTCCCCCTCTCTCCTCTTTCTCTCAGCCCCCGCTACTCCTCCTCATCCCTAATGCCAAAAGAGCTGATCTTGTTTGCTATGAGAAATACAATCATGAATGATAATAAGATATTCTTATAGAAAAAAACAGGGTATAAGAACAACAATAATATTGATAACGTTGTGAATAACAAAGATGTTAGTGCTGATTATGATAACACTGCTTATAATATCACTAAGTTTTTCTTGCTTTATTTTCTGTTGGTATAATATTTCACTACTGTTTTAGTATCTGTAGTTGTATCCTGCCTGCCCCTGGTGGCAGCAGGAAGGTTGTTTTTAGTTCAACAAACAAGCCAGAAAGACTGAGTCCTTAACTCCTGTTTTTTCTGTTTTCTGTAGAATATTTTACTCCATGCTCATACATTTATTTGCTTCCTTGTGGAAAAACTGGATCTCGAAGACACATTTAGAGCTGAAAGATCCTTATTTGATGTTTCAAGACATTACAAATCAAGTGTACACACACGCGCACACACGAAAACACAGTTTTTTTGTCGGCCTGAACTTGTGCTACTGTGAACAATACGTTCCGTCAGAAGCCGAAGATACTGAGAGGAAGGACGTGCCTTAATGGTCTCCAGTGGATGTGTCCTCCAGTTCGCATGCGGCCCTCACGCCGCAGCAGCACCGGGACGGACCGGCATGCTTCAAGGCTGCTCGGTGTTCTCTTCACGTTTATGAGCCAAAAATGCAGTAAAAATTTACAGCAGGCTCGAGACGCTGCTGCTGCTGCTGGTTTAGATACAAGAATGCCGTCGCAGATGTTTTATAACTTCGTAAAAATTATTTCATATGTCAAGTATGGGCAGTGCTTTATGAAGCTGTTGTATTCAGGATGTCCCACTGTCACGGATAGACGTCTCACTTCACAACACGGCAGCCTTTAGACCACTTCTTTCATTCAGGTTACATGATAACAGTCACCAGGCACTTACTTCTTTTTCGGCCTCTCACTAGTATCTCCCAGAAGGCATTACTTTTCACTCACGGTCTGAGAGGCGCACACAGAAAGCTTTGTTTGTACATTGTGTATGATTAATATTATGCACTGTCGTTTATGTAGGCGAAATGCTACAAAATGTGTAGGAGAAGTGTTGTTGCCGCATGACAATGATAAAAGCTTGAGCTGAGGAGGATGTCTATTTGAGAGAGGCCTCTTAAACACTGACTGAGGTGTCAGGAAGGCGGCCATCTTGCGAAAGCTTTTTCCGGGCTTTTTCCTTTGACCGATGTAGATAGTCTTTTTAGCTGGAGAGGCCTCATTTATTGCACAGGACCTTTTACTCAGTGTAGGTTCAGGCACTCAGTAGACATGCCTTATCGTCCCATCACCCCCTCCCCACCCCCGAGCTGTCTGATGATGACTCATCATTTTACTGTACAGAATAAAGAAGCCTCTTTTAGTTATTTAAAGGTTTGATCTTAGATTAGATGTCAGAAGTTCAAGGGCTGCGGGAGATTGTGCAGGAGTGCTGGCCTGAGATTGGAGCTGCTGGAGTGTGTAGAGTGTAATCTTTGTCATTGCGGACTTCTATCTTATACCCTAATCTAAATGCACCTGTGTAATAGGTTGGCGTGCGTGCGTGTGTGTGTGTGGAGGGAAGCAAGCAAATCATGTCTGAATGATAACAGCTGTTTGTTTTTTTTTCCTAACACTAACCTGCTGATAACTATTCAACAGCCTCTCCTCATCCCTCGCTCCACAGATAACAGCGTTAAAGTGAGACTGATCGAGTTAGCCTTAAATCAAACAGATTCAACCACGCCCCCCCCCCCCCCACCCACCCACACACGACTCTCCTAATAAATAGATTGGGATCTCTGGAATTTTTATACGCACACATTTTGAAAGTTCAGGTCAACCATTATCAGCACGGTGGTAGAAGAAGGAGACGGGAAAACGGGGAATGACGAGGAAATAAGAACGAGCAGAAGAATGACTTTGGAGTGGGCATCAATCAGTGTCAGCATTTGTATGTTCAATCTTTTCCTTGTAAATAATATATTTAAAACTCTTTTCACTTTGTACAGTAAACAGACAGACAGGATGTAACTTTCAAAATGTTTTACAGCAATTTAAGAAATAAACAAAACAATAATAAAAACTCATAAAAACTAAAAAAAACACATGAACAAAAATATGCAAAATATAGTTAAGACACAAATATTACTAATCATAAGTGATATAATTGAACCTCTTTTTCTTTAAATCTCATGTTTACTTAATTATGATAGTTTACCAATCAGTATACTGATTATGTTAAGAATTATGCTTTTTCATATTTTCACTAAAGTGTTGGAAATCGAGGATAATTTACTGTAGGTGTAGACGTTTGGTGATTAAAGGGGAAAGTTTAGTTTTAGGAGTCTTTGCTAAGTTTCCCTTGAATTGTGTTAGATTCTCTCTTTTTAAGGTAAGCTCTTCTTCATGCTTTTTGAGATAAATTCAATTATCTACACATTTATGTAATACAATATTACATGTATACATAGATGATATTTGCATATAGAGGCAGTATATTGTGATCCTTCATTTTTAAGCAGCAATCCTTGTTAAAAACTTACAAGATATTTGTGTTTTTGTTGCCCGTTTTTTTGACCTGGGCTCTAATGGTGATTGCACACAGAATTTAGAGCCATCGTTGGCCCCGGCCTATCCTGTTCCCGCTCTGTGTTTGGGATAGACATCACTGTGGTAAAGGAAGATATATATATATATATATGATATATATGTACACACACAAATCTGCGCTGGACATTTCTCAGTGTTGATGTTTTGTTAATATTGCTGAGGATTTCTGCACAAAATTGTGGAAAACCAAGAACAAGTGTAGTTCATCTAATTGAGAATCCATTTGAAGCTGAAATGCATTTGTGCAACCCCTTATTAAAAGGTGCAACAATTCTTCTGTCATGTCTCATTTTATGTTGCCTTTTGCTTCAGGGGAATCAGCCGTTGCTATATTTTAGCTCACATATTACTAAACCGCGTTATTTGACAGCTGAAAACACTTAAATGCTTTGGATTCTAATTTATTCTGTGCAACTTTGTGCACTGCTTGTTTCTCCGTATGAGACGGGAAATATAATTTGTAATTTGTTGTGTACATATGCAATTCTGTCCCCATGCAGTCAGAAATTATTTCCCCTGCTCTTCTTCTGTATGGTACTGATTCCAATAAGTCTCTATAATCTTCTCCCCAGCCCTGAGAGAAGAAATTCATCTCTCTTCTGTTTTTCTCCTCAACTGCTATCATGTCTACTGGATTGATTGAAAAGTGAAAAATGTATCCGTGTGCACGTAAACTCCGTTAGGTTTGCATATTTTTCTTACAAGCCACCAGGTTTTTTTTTTTGGGTTTTTTTTTCCTCATTTGCAATAAACAGCATGACCAAACAGAAAATGCTCTTACTGTACACTGTATGTGCCAATACATCAGTTCCTGTTGTTTTTTAATGCATTGGAAGGCGAGCTATAAGGCCGGTTTACAGCTGCTGGTTGTGAAGTCAAGGTGCACTGTGGTAAACATGCTATCATCAGGCTTTTACCACCTCCAGCTGCTCTGCTCTGCAGCCAGCGTGTGCAGGTCAGGCAGTGATGCAGAGTAAGCATGGCTCGTCAGAAGTCTTTATTTCCCTTACGGCCAAATTGGTCCCAGCCTCACTTCTCTGCACACGAGCATGCCACAACACATTTGGTCAAATGCTTCATGTAGAGCAAAACACTGTGTCACATTTTTTACAACACAAGAAAAAATGGCTGTGGCAAGTTAGCACGCAGGAACATCCTGAAGGTGGAGGATGTAAATATCACCTCAGCTGACGTGTGTTTTTCTGTCAGGAATACTGACACATGGGACCAAATAACAGCACGACGTGGTCAGCTACAGGGATCGATGCACCTGTTAAACTGACTTGTGAAAATGTCATTTTTGCTTTTTGTTTTGTTTTGTTTTGGAGGGAAGATATTAGATATGTTTGTTTCACATCAATGTCTCTAACATATTAAGTTGAACTGCTTAATCACGCTGGGTTTTTTTTATTATCAATGAGTCACGCAGATAGAAAGAATTATACTGTGATATTATATGATTGATTTGTTGTGAAGCTCCATGTAATTTAGCTGCTTATAATTTCCCAAATCACCCTGATTCATTGCAGAACTTGTTTACTAATATTTCAAAGTTCTCTCTGTGTGCGTGTATAACTATGTATTGATATTGCTTTATATTGATGCATACAAACTTTTCTATTAAATTGTGTACAGTTTTGTTTGTTTGTTAATATTGCTATTTTTCATCACCATCATCCATACTTGAGAATGGCTTGCTTTACCTGAATGAAAAGTGATGACAATATGACATAAGGGGTTGCTACTAAATGTATTTCACAAGGTGAACAGGTTAATGAAAACACACATCGTCACTGATTAAATTTACTGTGGGTTGACAAAAATGTAACATATGAATAGCATCAATTGTATACATAATGATATACATAATATTATTCTTGGCCATTCTTTTCTCTTTTTGTGGCCCTTTTCTTTGAAATAATCCCCAAATTTTTACACCATACGAACAGAAAACGTCACAAAAACAAATAATTGTACAGGTTGTGTAAATACTGAATATTTGGGGGAAAACATTTACCTTCTTTTTTTTGTATGGAAACGGATCAAAGTAATCTCAATAACAAAATTAACCACGTCATGACAAAACTGCAAAAAAACATCATTAAGGTACTTCTAATAAGGATAATACTGATATCTACAATTATAAGTGCTTAAATAAGACTATTCTTTCTCTTTGTACATGATGAACAAAATGAAGTGTTGAGTATTAATAATAAAAAACTCTAAGTTTCACGCATATGGCACTGAGTCTTTTTAAGCTTTTTGTGTTTACCTCTGAATTTTGACACTTCATTTCCTTTCAAACTAACTCTTCTGCACACCCCCCACCCCCCGATTCTTGACATTTGGCCCGGTGTATTTATGTGCCAGAGAACTTCCCGATTCTTACATCTCTTGTGCATGGCTCTCAGATGTCCCCGCCTCTGACTAGGTCTCTGCCCACTGTAGTGGACACACTGTCTGGCTCTCAACCTCCTGCCTTTACTCTCTCTCTCTCTCTCTTGCTCTCTGTCACAGGCCTTCATTCATTGTCATTCTCTCAAATACATGATCTTTCTGTCGCACACAAGCTGTTCTCTCTCTCTCTCTCTCTCTCTCTCTCTCTCTCTCTCTCTCTCCTGGCTGGCAGGAATTCCTGGGAGAGGAGAGGCCTGCCTGAGAAAGGAGGGCCATATGGTGACTGTATGGTGGAGTGGTTGGGTCTGGGTCTGTCCCCTCAACAACCCACACTGCTGCTGGCGCTCCGCAAAGCCTCGTCTGATGCCGTCCAGCCCCCTCGGGGTTCTCTCCGGCTGCTCTCTCAGGCTGGTCTCCCCCTCATTCTACACACACACACCCACACACACCATCGCTGCTCCTGACGGACTTTGCAGCAGTACAGTAGACCTGCCCAGGACAATTTAAAGATTTTAAAAGACGTTCAAACTGAACTGACACCCATTTCAGTTCACCTTTAAAACAGCACAAAATGGTCTATTACACTATAATGTGTTTTTTTTTTAACTTTTATTTATCCAGGAGAGATCAACATTGAGATTGAGGTTGTCGTTCACAATGCATAATAATTATCTGAGGTCAGGGAAGCGGGACAGATTAGAAAATCTGGATGATGAAAGTAAATGAAGAAAACCCACCCCTGTCTCAGCAATTGCCATCAAACTGACATTGAGAAGGGCATTTATCTTCCAGCAGTCTCCCAATTCTGTTGCGTTGCCAAAAGTGTAATATTGTGCTTGTACTGAGCAGGTCCCCTGTGCAAATGTATTTAAATGTATGAATAATAAGTAGGGCATTCTGTAAAGGAGGATACAGGCAAAACATCCCAGAGAAAATCAAAGCTAATATCATGTGCATTTAGCTTGGCTACTACTTAAGATAAATAAGCTCTTTTTCAGCAGTATGTCATCTCTTCTAAGTTGTACTCACAAACACCAGCTTCTGGCCCGAGTTTATATTGCTTCATGAAGATGGAAATCAGATTCAATATCATATTGAAGATGTGTGTGTTTAGGTGTTCTCATGATGATGTTTTGACCTCTCACATTGCAAAAAAATCAAAAAATACTGTTTAGTTTTTTCGCTGTTATACACCGAGCTGGGCTGTGTAGTCTGTAAATTGTACATTTTGGCATTTTAACAAGCAGATCCAGACTGACTTAAAGATGTATTTGTTTTTTTTGTTTTTTTACAGCTGGTCAAAGATGGAGGATGGGTGCTATGTGTGTAAACCAGCACTAAAAACACAGTTAGTGCTCATTCCTAGTTTACCTAGGACCCTGGGAAAATATCCAAGTCCTACATGTGCTCTTCCAGGGTCCTATGTTCCCAAGGTTAGGGTTGGTTGGTTTGGTAACATGGGACCCTGGGTACATAGGACCTTGGGCACTTAAGACCTTGGGAACATAGATAAGCTCCTGTTATTTTGCATAGTGATACATCATCTCTTCACTCTGTCTGTGGCATTTAGAGATAGCTTTCTGCCTTTCAAGAGAAAGAATGAGATTAGTGCCCAAGTATAAAATGTGAAAAGAGTGCAATTCTGTCAGTTAGTATCAAGCTCTGCCACAGACCTGTCAATATTTATGCTGGTCACCAATCAGATGTTACAGGGGTTGAAAAGACAGAGGTTAAAATGTACAAAGTAGCCTTTTAATGAAAGTCAGCTGCTATGGTGATTTGGAGTGATCTGACAGCGAGGGAGAATATGCAAAAACATGGTCCTTCAACAGACTACAGACTACAGCCATGCTAGCGGCTCTCAGAGGTTGGGTAGAGGTTGTGTGCTTTGAGCTAAATGTTAACATCAGCAGGCTAACACGCTCCCAATGACAATGCTACCATGTTAATGTTTAGAAGGTCATATTTACCATGTTCACTACCTTATTTTAGTGTTAGTTTTAGCACAAATACTGTGGAGGCTGATGGGAATACCATAAACCAAAATATTTTAAACATTTAATTTTGACCTGTTGATGATGTTAGATGAAATGCTGTGTATGTGTGTACCACATGTTATTTCTGGTCAAACGTGATGGACAAACTGCTCGACTGACATTACCATCCATAGAACCATGCTGCTGGTGATATGGGTGAGGGGTAGAGGGGAAGAGAACGTTTTTTTGGAGAGAGAAGGAGAGCATTGAAGACGAAGGGGGAGAGAGAGAGAGAGAGAGAGAGAGAGAGCTGCATTTAGGAACTCAGACCATCATTTCAGCTACCTCCCAAAATAGTGAAGATGGGATGCTGTAGCCGGACTATCTCTATGTGCAGCTTCTCCCAGCACGGACTCTCACCCGCGCTCCCCACAGACCACAGCAGGGAGAATGGTGGAAAACCAGGAAGTTCAGAGGCATGATGGTAAACTTGCTGACACAAGAAAACTAGACAGCCGGGCTCTGCAATGTTGAGTGGTGCAAAGCATACTAGGAGTGAGGCTACCTGCTGCACAATACTACAACTGACTAACTCCACTCTGTATGCTAAATATCTGACCTACTCTCTTCCCTCTGAGCCTTTGGTCCATACCTGCACACAGCAGCCCGCCTGTCCCCACCCATGACACCCACCTCCTCGTCCATCATCCCTGGAACAGCAATCCCCCCCCCATCACTCCTAGCTCACATTAATTTTTCAGTCACACTGGCAAGCAAGACTTATTAAATTATTGATGGTGGGAGTGAGGTGTGAGGGAAAAGGATGAGATATATTAGTAAGATAGAGAATCACGTGTGAGGTTGCACACCACCGTAAATGTGAAATATCGCTCAACAGTTTGGTTATTTTTGTTACTGTCAAAGATTAGCTGAAGGAAATGTAGTTTTTATTCTGGTTTGGGGAGCTGGACAGTCTGAAGAGAAACCTGACAAGGATGTATCTGAAGGCCGAAAACCTTCAACAGTTCTAATTCACCAGCCAGTCAGAGGTGAAACCTTGCTCTCTATCTGCCTCTCAGTGTTGCACTACCCTGTCACCCTTTCCTATTCCCCTTTCCTTCACCCATCACCTGATACTCTAACACTTCCTTCCTTTTGCTTCCCTACTTCTCTGTCTTTCTCTCTTGCTCTCTTTACCTCTCTTTATCCCACTCTCACTCCCTATCTTTCCAATGCCCCCTTCTATTGTGCGTCATCTTGAATTATTAGGATGGAGGGAGAGGTGTTGGGGGTGGTGGGAGCCTCGTGGTAATAAAAGGAAGAGGGCCCTGTGAGTTATGGATGAGAGTTCAATGGATTATGGAGAAATGAGAGGGGGAGCAGGATGGAGGGAGAAGAGGGGTAAAAAGGACAGATGACAATGGTGGAGGTGCCACAGTGCGTCCATAAAGCAAGCTTCGTTTTCAGTGATACAACTCACTTTATCCTTGAAACTTGTGACCTTAGAAGCCTCATTGCTTTGCAGAATATTGCTCAGCTTTTTTTTGTGTGTGCACCAATATCTACAGCACTGCTCTGTCTTTCATTTGGTCTCTCTTGCCATTTTTTTCTATCATTGCCTCTCCCTTCTTTTTCTACTCTTTATAAAGTACCTACATTTGAACAATTAACAGTTACCTAGCAACAGGATATATTATTTCAAAAAGCAGAGAGGGTCTGAGGCAGCAGTATGTTATTTACAGTAATATTATTACATACCAATAAAACATTTCAAGCTCACCTTTCAGTAAATGTAAGTAATGTAATGTAAATGTAAGAGGGTCTGAAATATTGAACAAGAGTGGCGGAGTTGTTCAGTTTAATCTAATTCCTGCTTTTGGTATGGCAATGGAAGGCAGATTCATGTGTGTGACACATGCTGATTACACTCACCTCCGCACACTGCGAGCAAACTGTTCCTTGAGATTTGATTTGGCTGGACACTGTGATTGTTCTGTATGTGTGTGTGTGTGTGTGCGTGTGTGTGTGTGTGTGTGTGTGTGTGTGTGTGTGTGTGTGTGTGAGTGAGTGTGTGTGTGTGTATGTGAGCTCCTTTTGGAGGAACATCAGCCTCTGATTTCACACAGCAGCTGGACAGCACACCAGCATTCATGATCTATACAGTGGAGGAAGACTGCATGTGATCAATACACACGAAGCATATAGAATTGTGGCTTATGGGGGTGGTAGCTTCTTTCATGATGCGGCATTCAGAGAGTAAATACTGGGAATTGGAGAGCGTCGAGGAAGGTTGTCGGCACTGTTTTTGTCCTGACCTCTAAATGTCCTATTCTGCTCTGGCTGACGTCCATCATATAACATGGTCACACAAGGAGTGAACCTTTTTTTCATTTGTGAATTCTTGTTTGATGTTATTACTGAAGTTCATAAATGTATGATTATAATTGGATGGCAATAAGGAAAACATATACTGTAAAGGAATAATTCGATCTTCTCATCTTGCTCTCTGCAAGAAAGCAATACCGGTATGCATATTTTCAAAAATGTCACCTATGGCTTTAAAAGTCCAACCCACTGCTTGTTCATCTAAACTAAACTAAAACTCTGACCATGTGTCAGTCACTGGCAGTATACCTTCATAGCATGCAGAAAATAATTCATTTAAACTTACTTAAACCCTGTGAGCATGGTCCAGGCATAGTGAAGGTTGGTACAATTGTCGGTTAAAGGCAAACCATATAATCACAACATGAATATCCTCCAATCACCTACAGTTTTCACAAGTTCCACAGACAAAATTAAACATTCACTTAAGCATTTTAAACACACAAACATTCACACCCTCCAAAATGACCACAC